TTATGTCGATCCACAGCTCATCTGAAGCTCTGGAAATAACGATAGTCCTTGTGGTATTAAATGAATTGTCTCTTAGTTAATGCAATCCCAAATAATTTAACACAAGTAAGCTAAAGTCATCATACATGATCTTGGTATATTTGCACTGCTAACATTATGTGGTGTTCAGTCAGAAGAATGTCGTTGTGAGAATGTGGGGAGAATGTCAGACAGAACTATGTCCTGTGATGGACACGTTATGAGTATTCTACTGCAGCACATATTTCACCCAAGCACATTCCTCAGACGTCAGTGCCTGTAGGTAACTATTACAGGCCTAATTGCAGAGGAATGCACGTACTAGTGCATGTCAGTGTACATTTTATTTACAATGAAGGAATTGTGATATTTCTTTACAATAATGTTGATTATGCTTATTGAAGAATTTTCTTAAGACTCTTGACATGAACAATGATGTGCCTTATGTTTTTCGGCATGATGTTTGAAAAATAGAGACAATGTTATTGATATTTCTGACAAGCCTACAACTAATATAAGTTGTATATTGTATTCTTGTCTTGCCAGTTGAATAGAAATGTAGTTTGGAGGTGTATGTTCTCATTTGGTCCATAATAGATATCATGAAATAATTTCTAAAAAAACAACCCAAGAAAGTCTAAAATACAAGTCAAGTTTTCTTCAGTTTCTGAACATGAAGAAATTTTCTGAGCTCCTAAAATTCTATTATTCATTAGAAGACAGTGTAACGAATTAGATATTATATATTCATTTCAGAGACTAAAAGTAAGGTTAGTTCTCTTACCAAATTACCAATTCTAGAGTCTATTCCCCGAAATCATCTGATCAGTAAGTTGGTCATAGCTCCCATAACATAACATCAGTCCAAAGACAGAGTATTTTGTTCATAATTATTTCAACCATCAATGAACCTTTAGTCCAAGAAATGGTGGTAATCAGACATCAGGGTTTTTTTGCTGTTTGAGAGGTATTTTGATGGTATGGTCATGAGACAGGCTACAGTACATTGTACTGTCAAAAGTTTAATGGTCCAATTTCCTTCACATTTCCAGGGCGGTCGGGTAGCCTAGTGGTTAAAGTGTTCGCTCGTCATGCTGAAGACTCGGTTCGATTCCTGACATGGGTTCAATGTGTGAAGCCCATTTGTTGTGTCCCCCGCCGTGATATTGCTGGAATATTGCTCAAAGCGGCGTAAAACCTTCCTCCCTCCGTCCCTCACTCACTCACTGACATTTCCCACTTTAAAAAGGTTTATTTTTTCATTATTCAAGCAAGTACTAATTCAATACAAAAAATATTTGTTTATTCATTTTTCTCGAAAACTGACCTTGAAGAATGCCATTTTTCTGGAAAAAAGATAATTCAAATAATAATAGGAAAATAACCTATAATTAATTTTAAGATGTAAATAAATCACAATTTCTGTCAAACACTGACTAATTCATAACAACATGGAATCTTTATATGTCTTGGTCAAGGAAACGTGGAAAACAAGAAATGTTATTGCTCTGTTGTTACAAAAGACAGAAGTTCAGTGAGTTTAAGCTGCCGTCACTGAATACTGTACAGTGTACAAAGAAAGGCATGAAAACACACTCATCAAACATGACTTTCCCATCAACACTCTGGGAAGAGCAATGCACCTCTGAGACGACTGAATACGATGCCACCGACATCACTGTAGGAAGCACCATAGAAAAATATTTTGGCAGAATATCCTTGTTTTGTCCGCCATTCTGCATTCCAGGAGTCTGTACTTGCGCAAGAGGCTCATGGCTCACCTTTGCTGCAGCGTGAGAACTGCTTTGTGTGTCAGTTAGTAAGTCTGTACCTTTGCTTTAGGACCTATCTTTCGCTTTCGCCTGGCGTCTATACCATGATTCGCCAAATCTTTACGTGGATACGGCATAAAGTAAGTTTGAAAAGTTTACTGCTTTCAACAGGTGTGTGTTGTTTAGATTTGATGATGAAAATGCAATGCTGTTCTGTTGGCTAATGTTGTTGATCTTTTCATTGCACCCTCTAAATATTTCCGAGAATGTGAGGTTTATTTTTTTGCCATTTTTATTGTTACCCGAATGCAGTGTGGAGTAAGTTTACTGCTTTCAACAGCCGGGTGTTAATTTGAGGTGATGATGGAAATGCTGTTTTGATGTTTTTTTTATCAGACAGTGTCCGTGATAGTTTTGTGCACCCATGACATAGTTCCGAGAATGTGAGGTGGATTGCTTATGATTTTTATGGAATTCTTAAAAAAGTTCCTTGGAACCGACATCACAGACAGATGACTTGCTCTTTGAGAGGCCGTTGTATGGTTTTGTGAAGAGGAGAGAGTGGTTTTGTGTTAAAATTGGAGATGACACACAATAATCTTGAAGTCGATATTTCACCCCATTTCACCCACCTCATCGCTATGACAGTATTTAGGCCTGTATGCCTCCCGGATAGAGAAGTGGGAGTACTCTTACAGATAAGCTGGGACAGGCAACTGCTCAGGTGATTTATGAGTCTGAACTGGAGGAGGAAAAAACTACCAACCTACACAACTTGAGTTGTTGACTGTTTACTACAGTGTTTAAGGCCTGTTCCCACGTACCTGTATTCTCACATCAGACAGTGTTGATAAGTGGAATTGATTATTATTTGCAAATTAATTTTTTCTATTTGTTATTTTTTTTTCATCCAACCTTTTAGAAATGAGAGACCCATGCTTACCTTAAAAGGCAACTAACAGGATCGGGTGGTCAGGCTCGCTGACTTAGTTGATGCATGTCATCGATCCCAATTGCGTGGATCGATGTTCATGATGTAAATCACTGGATTGTCTTGTCTAGACTCGATATTTACAGACCCCCATCATATAGCTGGAATATATGTAAAAAATTCTCCGAATTGTCCTCCCAGAATGTTTATGTAAACTCCATTCATTTTTAAGTGTGTTTAGAGGGTTGAAGGGGTTGGAATTAGCTGTGCAGAGTTGCGTCCCTTAGGTGTGCAAAGATCCTGTGATCAGACATCATCGGTTTCCAATCCCAAAGTTGGCCTCCATTATGATCCTTGTGCTGTCAGCATCATGTCTGTGGTTTCACCAAAGTGGCACATATCTAAGATCTGTAGAGTGTCAAGTGGTAGAGCGTTTGTCCGGAGAGCGGAAGGTCGTTGGTTCGATCCCTGGTCTCTTCATACAAAAAGACGACAAAAGATGGTACTTGTTGTTATCCTGCCTGGCACCCGGCATCTAGGGCCTTAAGCAAGGATTGGTCAGCTCGGAGTCAGTATCCTGTGCCTGAATGGGGTATTCATGTTAAACTATGATGGTATCTCAGTGGGCTAGCACTGTAAAATCAGCATTAGTCCAGATTAGTACATTTACTGATTTAGCAGCCACACACACAGTGCCATGCATGCACGTCGCTATATATATAAGTGCAGTAATCTTAGACGCAGCGTTAAACCCCATTTCACCTCACCGCATTATTATGATCACAAGCTCGTGCATATTGTATAACCTTCCTGGATGAATCTATATCTAACTCACTCAAAGGCTCACGGACTCACGGACTCACGGACTCATGGACTCAAACATTCCTCAACTTGTGAAAATATTAGTAGATATTTAAACTAAAAACCTAAAATGTAAAAGTTTTAATTTTAGGTCACCAATAAACCCAACGTCTCTATACTTCCACAGGATACTCCAACTCTATACCTGATGCATCTGTAAAGTCCTTCAGACAACAGCAAATATAAAAAAAAGATGAAAAAACCTTGCAGAGTTCATATCAGAGAAATAGTGGCTGAAAATGGAGCCAATTTCATGCTGGGATGACCATCAACACCCAATATAACCCCTTCCTACTTTAAACCCCCTCCTCCTACTCTAAACCCCCTCCTACTCTAACCCACCTCCAACAGCCCTGCCTCCTCAGATTCCTGCATCTTGCCGTGAACTGTTTACCAGCAGTGTGTTGTAGTCATCTAAACCATCTTTCCTGACTTACACCCACAACTCTGTGCCTTTTTTATGAGAAAAAACCTTTCATTTGATCATTATTGCTACAGGTGCTTCAGTAGTGTTCTGCTAATGTGTTCATCGGTTGAGTCAGAGTGTGAGATCAGTGAATTGTGATGACTTATGGACTGAATTAGAGCATGAATTATATACTGAACTAGAGCGTGAATGATGTTAGTTCGTATATATATATAAGTGTGTGGGTTTGGAGATGGAGGTCGGTGTGTGTGCGTGTGGGGGGGGGGGGGGGGGGGAGACGGCACACGGTGTCCGTCATTGCTGTGTCACTTCCTCTATTGATGATGAATGGACCTACACATCCTTTGCGCTGTGTTGTCAAAAGTTTTATCTGAATGGGATGGCCTCTTTTTGTCATTCTGACATTGTATGATAAACTTATGTTGCTCTGATGAAAATCAGTCCTGGATCTTCGTGATAGAAGTGTTACACAGAGCTCGAGGTTGTCGGGGGCATTGGACATCCAAGTAAAAGTATTTGACCCTCCTACTGAGAGCAGATGCTTTATTCTCAGTATTATAATTTTTGAAACCTGCGCATCTTTTTCATAGGTAATGGCCACACTTGGGGTTTTGTTATAGAGAGATTTTTGCATGGGTAATTGAGAGTTGGTCAAAACCCATGGTGGCACATGTCATAGATCTTATCACTGGAGTGAAACTGATGGCAACAGACATGGTGCTTACAGACCAAGAATCATAAGAGAGTTGAATTTAGGATTCAAACCTGGACTGGTGGATACTGGCAAATCAAGTGCCAGAACTCTCCACAGTGAATTATTTGGACAACTTGGGCCCTGAGTATCTCCTGAAAGGGGAACATATTTGACCAAAACAAGTTAAGGAGGACTTTGTAGAATTGTGTTTAGTCGCAGCATCAGATTTGATGACTATCAGTTTTTATGGGAAATGAAATGTTATGCAGATCATTCATGTTTGAATTTTATTTTCAGGGAGAGGACTTGGAACACAATGGCAGTGGTGAGTATGACACACGTGTGACACCTCTATGACATCTTTCTTTGTAACTGACACATCTCTACACCTTTGTCACATGTGACACCCATGCCACCTTTTTATGACACCTGTGTCGTCGCTGTGTGACACTTGATAACCACTTAGCTTACACCTGACCCATGAAGATCCGGGGTAGAATAGGTCTTCAGCAACCCATGCTTGCCGTAAGAGGGGACTATGCTTGTCGTAAGATGCGACTAACGGGATCGGGGGGTCAGCCTCGGTGACTTGGTTGATGCATGTCATCATATCCCAATTGCGTCGGTCGATTCTCATGATATCAATCACTGGATTGTCTGGTTCATACTCAATTATTTCCAGACCGCTGTCATATAGCTGGAATATTGCTGAGTGCGGCGTTAAGCAACAAACAAATTGTATGACACATATGGCAATTCTTTTACTACACCTTTGACACCTGTGTGACACCTTTCTCTGACACCTCTATGTAAATACTTTATCAGACAGTTTGCTGATTTGAAAAAACAGCCATACCTAAGCACCCAGAAATCATTGCCAGCATTTACCAATTTTTGAAAAAGACATTGTATGTATGATGAAATTTGAATCTAATTAAATATTAATTCAACCGACACAGGTTGATGGGTATGTTGTTCAACGCCACACTCGGCAATATTTCCAGACGGCGGTCTGTAAATAATCGAGTCTGGACCAGACAATGATGTGATTGACGTCATGAGCATCGATCCACGAAATTGGGATACGATGACATGCATCAACCAAGTCAGCGAGCCTGACCACCCGATCCCGTTAGTCGCCTTTTACGACAAGCATAATCACCTTTTACGGCCAGCATGGGTTGCTGAAGACCTATTCTACCCCAAATCTTTACGAGGCTCAACCAACATTGATTCAAATTAATATATATGTCATCCAATCCTCAAATATTATCATGTTGCTGATGGCTGTTGAGGAAACATGATGCTCCTCATAAATCCCTTTCTGCCTTATCATCAGAGTATAAATGATAAATTAACATCAAATATGAAATGTTAGCCGAAATACACGTACAGCCATAGACCGTTTGGCAGCCAATATGTGCATGCATGAAACGAAACCATGAAAGTCACTCTGTTCCCAAGAACATTACCTGCAGCTGTGGAACGGAGAGGAACATATTTGTGTTGTCAGAGCCGAATGCAGGTCTATGAGATACTTGAACGTAGAACAATGTCAGAGCGACCTGGTCCGTGCTTTGCCAGGATATTGAGTTACCATTGTGTTATGTAAATATCTCAATCGTTCACTGTTTAAACATTATTTCTAATGTCATTAAACGTAACTCACGGATCGAAAGACGTACTTTCATTGTGCGTAATTGGATAGATGGTGTTGAATGTGCAGTAAATGTCATTGAATTTTCCCTCAGAATGACATTTTAAATTTAGAGATATTTTGATTCCTAATAGTTGATTTTTATCGGAAGCAGGAAAGACAGATAATTGTTTTGAAAGGAAGAGTATGTCAATCAGTGTGATTGTTCTTGGAGTTGATTTTTTAAAATTTTGATTGTTTTGGTTTGAAATAATAAAAGTTATAATTGATTTGAGACTTATGTATGCTTATAGCCATTCTTGGAAACTCTGACATCCAGAAACCAGTGTGTACAGTTGTTTTTGCATTAGTACTTGCAGTAAAACTTGATATGAGGTATTTGGGTTTTGGGTTTTTATTGGTTGGTTTGCAAAATATTGGCTTAAAATTCAATGTAGGTCGTTGAAAAATATGTGGCCTAGTTCTTAGGCCAACTTATTTGTTGCAGCTGAGACATTTATCGAAATGAGGTCAATATCATGTGAAGATTAGATACATTAATGTTCGGAATATATGAAGATGAAGATGCTGGACTTATTTCCTGGTTTATTTATCATCTGTAACCCGAGTTGCGATAACGTTATTCTGTAAGTCATTAACTGTCTGTAATCAAGTACATGATGAAGCAAGGACATATGTTACATTTACCCCAAAAAAGTGTTCTTGAAGAACACATGTTGTCATGATGCCACTACATTCCTGGCAGTGGGAGCGTGTTTGTTTTGCCCGACATTCCCCGTGCTCTGGTGTGTGCACACGCAACCGTCTCCAAACAGCCACTCCACCTGCCGGCAGGAGCTCCTTACACGGCAGTTGCATGGCCTATCACTGCTGTGCCTCATGGTTCATGTGGTGCAAGGAGTTTGCATTATTGGACTCAATGTCTGGACAGATGTTGAAACATGGTGGAGAGAATTTGAGGAATTTGACGAACTTTTGTTGATTTTTGTGTGTGGTTTTCCTGGTTGTAATTGTTAAGGTTTCTGCATATTGGTTTTATGCTTCATAATGTTGAAAGAATCATGTATGTGCCTGTTTAGATTTAGTTGAATAGACAACATGTGTGTATGATGGAAGGATATTTCATACTTTTGCTTTTATGACTCAACTAGTCTACAAAGGTTGGAATTGGATGGTTTTGATGTGTGACATTCTTGGTTGTATTTCAAAGGCTTCTGTCATTGCTCATGCTGTCAACCATTGGTTTGACAGGTGTGGACTCATATTTATCGATCTTGATGACACTGTAATATTTCTGACTCTCGTAAAAACATTCGCACTTTTACATGTTGTTTCAAGGTTTTTATTCGAATTTCAAAAATTTTCTATTAAATGTCATGACATCCCAATACAGTGTTTAAAATGGAGGCTGAAAGTCACAAGGTCCTTGTCATGGCCTTAATGTCGAAAGCTGAAGATTTATGGGGTCCCTGGATTCAAATACCAGAGGGGCAAACCCCATTGGACCCCAGGACCTTCCTTAATTTGAAGTAGTAAAAGAAAATATGTACCAAGAATTATAATGATGATTAATGAAGTAAATCAATTAAGGTTGCCAATCATAGATTTAAGTCACATTTGGTCACAAAAATGGTCGCCACTAAGAGGGCTGTATTATTGACCGCAGTATCTCCAATACACACAGCACGAGGTCAAGTCAATCTGACAAGTTTAGCTAAGTCAGTAGAGGTGGAATTAACCACTGCTTGTTTTAGGGTTACTTTACAGGTGGGGGCAGGGGGGGGGGGGGGGACATTCGCTAGCAGAGTAACATCCCTTAGTCATGTCAGATGCCTCTGATTGTGGGTTTGAATCCAAAATACTACCTGATTATGTTTCAAGGTTCGTCCGCTCCATATCTGTGCTCAACATGAACACTGGTCTGCTGGTCCGAGTCTAGCATATTTACTAAAGGACCAGTAAAATGAGATAGAATATGGTTCGGTGTTCGAGTGTTTTTTTAGGAACGAACAAAGTAATTTAAGTTTGTTCTAATTTTGAAATCGGTGATAAGGCACCACTCTGTCAAGCAGAGATCCAACAGGACCAGTAGATTTATTTTAGTGCTGGTCCTTTGGACCACTGACAAATTTTGGTCCATGTCAAGCACTGTGTTTAATATGTAAATATCTAAGGCCTGCATTACTTTGTGCTTTCCTCACATCAAGCTGACCTGCCATGATAAAACTCACTTACTCAATGTTGTGGTGGTACTTATTTCAACGATATTTATGCCAGTACAAGCAAACAACAGCGTCTAATATTATATTTTTCAAAAGGTTTACTTACTGGTAAAGGGAAACATTGAATGTTGCTAAAAGCAGTGTAGAACCCTCCTCACTCACTTGCTCAACATGTTTCAGAAAAGAGAAGTAAGCGGACCAAGCTGGCCAGCTTGGAGCCGATGGACACCATCTTTGTGAAGAATGTGAAGGAGGAAAGCCCCGCACATGTCGCTGGCCTCAAGACAGGAGACCGCATCGTGTCCGTCAACGGAGAATCTGTTACCGGGAAGTCCTACTCCCAAGTCATCTCTCTTATACAGTCCAGGTAGGCTTGATCCCATCCTCAGCAGGTGATTAGAAGCCCTGGGGAAAGTCCAGGGCACAGTTGGTCCTGAGTAACCTATGCTTATCGTTTGCATGAGGCCCCTTGAGGATTTCAGGGGCTACAATAGGTCCTCTGGGGGGATTTCAGGGGTTACAATAGGTCCTGTGAGGATTACAGGGGTTACAATAGGTCCTGTGAGGATTACAGGGGTTACAATAGGTCCTGTAAGGATTACAGGGGTTATAATAGGTCCTGTGGGGATTTCAGGGGTTACCATAGGTCCTGTGAGGATTTCAGGGGTTACAATAGGTCCTGTGAGGATTACAGGGGTTACCATAGGTCCTGTGAGGATTTCAGGGGTTACAATAGGTCCTGTGAGCATTACAGGGTTTACAAATAGGTCCTGTGAGGATTTCAGGGGTTACAATAGGTCCTCTGAATATTACAGGGGTTACAATAGGTCCTGTATGTCCCATAGTATGTCACTGTGCTCTGACAGGATGAGTTGTTGCTCTTGCCGTCGACCTCTGGTTTGCCCCGCTCAGATTTGATTATGTATATATGCTGTGTATGGCTGTAATATAACTGACGACAGTGTTAAATTTAAATATCCTATACTCACTCAGTACAATTGTTTGCAGGGAGTGTATTGAGTGTTTTGAGGAATGAAAATGAAACCAATGCTGTCAAGTGAGAAAATATTGTGTCCACCCAAACAGGAAAGAAATCAGATTAAATCAGAAATTTGAGAAAGAACAATTATGAAAAACATTGTCAACAGTTATAAACCACTTGTGTGGAAGGAGCTGTCTTGATTGTTTGCAGCCTGTCATGATATTGTTTGAGTACTGCTGACTGGGGCCTGAAGCAACATTCACTCAGCAGGGCAGATACCCCTCTGCTCCAACTGAGTCCATTTGATAGCCGTCATATAGCTGGACTATTGCTGAGTGCAGAGTTAAAGACAACAAACAAACAAACAAAACTTAACCTTCACTTTCTATACAGCTGAAATATTGCTGACTGTGCAAGGATTATAACTGCTCTCGGCAAGCTAATTGGGAAAACTTGGACGTTAGTTTGTTTCAAATTAGGATTTTTATTTTCCTAAATTGACAGGTATTTTAACATTAAATTGTAACATTGCATTCCATAATATTAAACTAGGCATTAATCTTCCTCTATATTGGTCCTGTTATCAGTAAAATACAAGACTACAACAAAGCTATAACAGCATAAATTGGGAATTGTTTAATTCCAATTTGGAATGGATGACTTGAGGCTGAATATCGGCCTCTAAGCAGGCCTAAATGAAGTCTGTGCTGTGGCATTCTTTCTCATTCTAAAGAGTGAGTTTTTTAACGCTTTGATCAGTATTCTAGCAATATCGTCAGAAACCTCAGAAGTAGGTTTTGGTTTGGGTATGTTGTTTTACACCGCACTCAGCAATATTCCAGTTATATGACGGTGGTCTGTAAATAATTGAGCCTGGACCAGACAATCCAGTGATTAATAACATGAGCATCGATCCACGCAATTGGGATTGATGACATGCAACAACCAAGTCAGCGAGCCTGACCACCAGATCCCGTTAGTCACCTCTTATGACAAGCATAGTCGCCTTTTACAGCAAGCATGGGTTGCTGAAATCCTCAGAAATAGGCTTCACCCATATACCCATATAGGGAGTCCAAGTCTGGCCTGCAGCAGGACAGGCAAACACTTTATTCCCCATCACCCCTTGTTGCAAAGTATTCAACTGGATATATTCTGTTTTCAGTGATGCAGCTTTGAAACTTCTTGTTGTGCCCAAAGATGAAGACATTCTACAGTTGGTTAGTGTCCTTCCATCTGTTTGTCTGAAGTGTGATGGAATGGAAGCTGGTTTGAACAATATGAACATTGGCATACTTTATTTATGATAGATAGAGGTTATCAAGCATGTGTGATTTGGGATGGTGAAAATCCTGTATTAAGAGTAACACTATACTTTGGTAGCAAGCCTTACCCTCTTGAGTAATTGCCCTTTATCCAAGCCTTACCTTCTACAGAGTAATTGCCCTTTATCCAAGCCTTACCTTCTACAGAGTAATTGCCCTTTATCCAAGCCTTACCTTCTACAGAGAAATGCCCTTTATCAAAGCCTGTCATATTACAATGTCATAATGTTATGAAAAGCAGTCTGAAATCCTTCAAAATGTTATAAACACCTGCAAGATTTCAGGTTTTCCTTCCACATCAAGATGACACCATGATACCTTAAAAGTGATTTTTAACCCAACTTACTCTCTCTCTCACTCCAAATTTGAGTAATTCCTGCTTGTCCTCTTTGATTGCCATTTATTCCATGACACTAACTTGCATGTCTCGATATAAGTGCAATAATCTTGAATGCGACCCATTTCACCTGACACCAGGACTTACTCAGTGCATTTGTGTTTTCAGGCCTACCACCCACAAGCTCAGGATTCCATAAGCGGAAGTAATGGTTCCCTAGACTCCGACCGCCAAGCTACTGCCCCTATCCGAAGAGTCCACTCTGCTTACGCTTCAAACGAAAATGTGTTATCACCCGAACCCCGCCAGGAATCCCGACTGTCCTTCACAGTCAAGGACCACCGAAACAAGGACTACTATACAGATCGATCAAGAGAGTTCGGTCCTTACCCCTTGAAAACCTCTGCGTCCTTCGGTTCAGCGTTGTCTTCTTACAAGGAACCCTTGAGGAGTGATAGCAGCTACAACAGAGAAGCGTTTTTCCGGGATTCTGATTTTGATTATCGGAATCCCCATGGTTTTGACGGAGTCAGCATGAGCTCCAGTGTGTCGTGTTCAATTCCACAGAAGAAATATTCCTTTGGACTGTACTTTCCTCCCCAACAGGGAGATAACAAGTCAAACAGCATGGATGGTTTAAACAAGGGGAGTAATCGATATTCTAAGGAAAATATCCGAGATTCGGGTTCAGAGTTACGTCCACGTAGATTAGGATACGAACACAGACAGCCGTCGTTTGATAACACATCAGACAATTCGCAGTCCAAGGAGTCTCTTTTACGTTCACAAGATAGATTAGGAATAGATTCGAAACCACCGCCATATTCACCAAGTGGTTCGAAAGTTTTAAAATCGGGAGATTCCACGTCCATTATCATATCACGCTCCCACACAACGTCATCGTTATCATCACCAGCATCCAACATAACATCGCAGTCGCCGTACCGCAGCCAGATTTCCGGTAGACGTGGAAGTGACGTTGAATATAAAACAGATGTTCGCGGAGTTCGGCATTATGTTCCTGTTGTGTCGGCAAATCCGCTTGAGAAAGGTACCAAATCTTCCAGTGTTGATAACATCGATTCAAGGTTAAGTCGGTTCCAGACGCAGCGCTCATGGCATACGGACAGCAACCGATTCCATGATCAAGCCAATCCTGAAAGCCCAATGAGAACGTTTGTGGTCCGGATTCCAGTTGGGGACCGATCGATGGGGAGTGATGGAACTGATGGAGGGGGGAAGGGATCGGGGACGACATTTGCCTTGACACGATCCCCTGTCACAACGCAGATAGAAATTAAGAAGACTCCCAGACAGATTGTCTCGCATAGGAAACAACTGTTTGAGTTAGGTAAAAATGAAAACCACAGTCCAGGAATTAAGTTTGATAGGTGTAAAACTGAACTTGAAAAAATGACGACTTTCAAGAAGTTTGAAAGTGTTGCAAATCGTGCCGCAGTCTTTGAACAAAAGCAAGATTCCCCAGAACCTGAGGTTCCTAGCAATTCTGTTCAGGTTCAGCCTGCCATTAAAGTCCGGAAAATTTCAACCGAACGTTATATCCCGCCCAAAATGTCTAACGATAAACCCGACCGTCCCGCCACTTTGGCGAGCTATCAGGAAGCGCCGGCGCCAATACGGATATATGTTTCTCCTGGTAGTTCTAGTGCTCCAGTGTCTCCCATTGTGGAGATTGTGCCTGTCTTCCAGGAGAATCAACCGGCACCCAAGATGACCACAAGCTTGACCCACGACCCCAAGCCCAGACAGTCTTTCAACCATGAGGAAGAAGTAGTGGAAGAGCCCTTCCCTCAGGCCCGCATCGTGCAGGAGAACATCCATGGAAGTCGTCCCGTGCGGAAGACGTCGTATCTCTCGGCTGTGAACGCCCCTCGCAGTCGGTGTAAGTTTTAAAATGTTTTTTAATTGCTCCTCTGTGTTTCTTAATATTGTGTTTATTCTGTGAGTAGCCCTTTTTGGGGGAGAAGGTCTGTGAAACATTTGGCATTGTTTTGAATCAGGTAATTTAATCAATGCTTCTGCAATCTGTACTTAAGAGCTATAGCCTTTTTAAGGGAAGTTAGACAAAGCAACCATATTGATTTTGATCACATTCTGTCTAGCAGATTGTAATTGCCTCTACAATTCCATTTGGACAGGTCTAAAATTGGGTCCAGGTCTGAGTCTATAGGTCAAGGCCACACATAAGGTCAAGGCAACACAATAAGGTCAAGGCCACACAATAAGTCAAGACCATACAATGAGGTCAAGGTCTAGGTGGTCACTTATTCCAGGTGTAAGCCATCTTAAAGACGAATCTTCTCAAAAGTTTATACTTTTTAATAAAATTGCTACCAGAGAAACCTTGTGTAGTGGATTGTGATGCTGTATATCACTGTTTATAATACGCCTGTCAAATGTCGGGCTGGTTTTCAAACACCGGTTGACATTGTCAGTAGAATCTAGCGTTGGTAAAAAAACAAAAGATCTTTTACCAAGGTCATAGTATGACCCCTGACGTACCCACGTTTAGACTCGACCACTAGTCGGAGAGAAGTCAAAATCAGGAGGGACAAGTAGTTTTCTCCCCACATCTAGTTATTTACATAAACGTCTAGTCTTGTACAAGCTGTGGATATGACCAATGCTTTCTTCCCATGCATTGACAGAACAAACTAATTGCATTTTAAACGGGGTCTGTGAAGATCCAGGTTAGAATAGGTCTTCAGCAACCCATGCTTGCCGTAAAAGGCGACTAATGGGATCGGGTGGTCAGGCTTGCTGACTTAGTTGATGCATGGCATCGATCCCAATTGCATGGATTGATGCTCATGATATCAATCACTGGATTGTCTGGTCCAGACTTGATTATTTACAGCCCGCTGTCATATAGCTGGAATATTGCTGAGTGCGGCCTTAAAAAACAAACATTATAAACGGTGATCTACTGTATCAGCAATCTGAATGGACAAATCGACAATGTCTCTTTTACTGTCTATTGATTGTGTGATGGTAAATCACTTGCAACATTAATACAATCCTATGAGTGCAAGAAACACTGAACTTTCTGTCTGTTTATCCTATAAATGTCCCCTTCACCCCCTTCTCCTCTCATATACATTTCTTTAGAAATAGTCAATGGTGATGGTTTAATATAGATGAATGTACTCAGTTGTATTTGTATCAATGTCTCTCTCTATATATATATCTAGATTAATTCACTTGTAAAGGTGTATATTTTCCTCATAGACTGTGATAATAATTTTGCATGCTTCACTTTTTTAGAATCTCCTCAAGTTTAATCATTTCATTGAATTTGTATAGATTTCAGAATTGCAATGTACAATGTCACCCCAAAATGTTTTGTTTTCTTTTAAATTTTTTGCTGTTCACGAACATTCTGTTTTTGACACATTTTATGTAGTAATAGAATTTCCACTCACTCATTGAGATTCCAACACTAGTTCAATCATCTCTTAGGTTTTGTTTAACTTTGATGACATATTTTAAAAGTTGATAATCAAGTTCTGAAGCCCTTCGGTAATATCAAAATTAAGTTTTCAAATTTGATCACATTTTTCTAATGGGATAATTCGCTCATCTGTCAATCCAGCCTCCCATCCATCATCCGACCACTCACCAAACCACCCACTCATCAAACCATCCCCTCACCAAACCACCCACCCTACAAACCATCCCCTCACCAAACCACCCACCCTCAAAACCATCCCCTCACCAAACCATCCACCCACCAAACCATCCCCTCACCAAACTATTCACCCACAAAACCATCCCCTCACCAAACCATCAACCCACCAAACCATCAATCCACTCATCAAACCATCCACTCATCAAACCACCCACCCACCAAACCACCCACCCACAAAACCATCCCCTCACCAAACTATCCACCCACCAAACCATCCCCTCACCAAACTATTCACCCACCAAACCATCCCCTCACCAAACTATCCACCCACCAAACCATCCCCTCACCAAACTATCCACCCACCAAACCATCCACCAACCAAACAATCCACCCACCGAACCACCCCCTCACCAAACCAACCACTTGATTACTAATCCTTCCGTCCATGCATCCACCCATCCACCAACCATCCATTCTCTTACCAGTCCACCCATCAACTTTCCAATCCATCCACCCACTCACCAAACCACCCTTTCACCAAACCATCCACTCACCAAACCACCCACCCACAAAACCATCCCCTCACCAAACCATCCATCCATCCATCCATCCATCCATCCATCCATCCATCCAATCAAATGCATCAACACAAGATGCATCATGGATATAACACGGGGGGAAAGACCAATGCTGTTTTGAAATTCAAAATGCATCGCCCCTTCATCAGATTCCCATGATGCATCAGATGATGACGAAGATGATGTTGATGGCGACGACACGCTGGACAATCTGGAAAGTCCGTCGAGTCTCCCCGAGCCCCTGGGTTCGACCACTAGCCTAGGTTCCAGTGCTGGCAGCATCAGTTTATTCTCCTCGTATAGCAATGTCCCTTCAGGTTGGTCTGCCACGAGCCTCGCTCCTCCTCTCGCTCACTAAACATTAGGGTTGTCACGACGATACGCTACCCGATATGCCCACCCTGAATTCTGTATCGACTTAAAAAAAAAGTATTTCAAAATTTCGCAAAACCAGGACTATGACTACTACGACCAACATCACCTTGATTATAAAACATGATGCTGAATCTGATGGAGTACCCGTAAAACTGTTGGAACAGGCCCAAAATATCAAGTCCTGAACACTGGTTGAAAGCAGGAGGTGACCTATTGTCAGCCAGGACACGGGGAACAAGTCAAAATTTCACACTTAAACGATATGAAATAATAAAAAAATTGCGATGTATTTTATATCATGACTGAAGTATCGCTAACAGTATATCGTGACAACTCTACCAAATATTGCGGGGTTCAACATTTTTGGAAAAAAGTCAGAGAACTATCCAGTCTTCCATGGTAGGGTCATGTGGTTCTTAAATGCCAATGAATATTCATATTCAAATGTCAATTTATTAATCTATGATTTCTTTTTTTCAAATTTGCATGTCATCATTCATCTATATTGTTCTCCAAAGTTTGCATTATTTTGGCCTATATTATGAATGTCATTTTTCTTAAATGTTAACCCCACTAATATATTGTCTAATTTGGGTTGGTGTTTATTAGCATGCTTTCCTTGTACTTATTTATATTTATTTGTGTCTATATATGTGTTTGTGTGTTGCACACCTTGTGTTGCTGTGGACTCATTAAAATCAGTCTTCAGGCTGATGAGATACCGAGCCATGTGGAGATCGGAGGACACCTCCGTACCCAACGAGGCGTCTAGATTCTGTGCAAGAAGCATTCAGACCAGCATATGTGATACTTGTATAGATCTTAAAAATGAAGTTGATGAACCAGTTCCAAATGGAGATAATTAAGTCTGTGACATTATGTTGTTGTGGATGTGTTTCACGCCGTGTCGTTTCTGAGCTCAATGGCATCTATGGCCAAAAGGAGTAGCAGTGAAGGAATATTTGGGTTCTGTGTGGGTTTTCTTTTGTAAAATCAAGTTGGTAAAGAAATAAAGCTGAATCTTCTAGAAAGCTGGTATCTGGTATCAGCAGCGTAGCAGATATGATTTCAATGAGACTGAGTCTCATCTGGAGTTTTGATGTGATTGAATTACAATAATGCAGAACGTTGTCATCGGGCCATACTAGGTTAATATGGTCACAAATGGATAAACATATCTAAGTTTTGTTGTGTCAAGTATGGATAAGAGTTTATGGATGAACAACTTCTTTGATGACTTGCTTGATAACGGTGTTAGAACCTACACCGAAACATCGCTCGTAATTGTAATAAAGAAGTTGTTCATCCATAAATTCTTATCCTTACTTAGTACTCTTCTAAATTGCCTATCAAAGAAGTTATGCCTAGTGTCATTCAATCGCACCCCATGAGAAATTGGCCACTGTCTGGTTAATTGTTAAAGTAGACAGGAGTCCAGTCAGGGAACACAGCCCCCCTTTGAAGTACATGTCATGTTGTCCTCGCTGACCAGTCCCCCATGAAGATCCGGGTTAGAGCAAATAGCTGCACGACTTTTTTGCTGATGAGGCATTAAACGATAGTCACTCACTCACTCACTCCTTCCGTCCTCCCTCCTTAGTCATGTCCTCCAGTGACGGCGGGGTGCTGCTGTCCCGGATAGATGCTGGCTCCACGTCAGGCTCCACGTTCCTCGGAAGCTCCATGGATACAAACATCTCGGAGCCAGGAGTACAGATGAGGTCCAAGACCATAGGTAGGCTGTATGGAAAGCATCCTCTTGACACCTGACAAAACTTGTAGAGATATTTTTTATGTCGTGTCTTGAATGATTTACAAATGTCCTTGCATCACCTAATGTGGTTGAAAATGAAATTTGATATTTTATGGATAATTGAAATCTGCAGCTGTTTATCAATTCAAAAGAAAATGAATCTGAAGACTTTCTCTCATGAATATAAGTACTTTTTTTTGTTGGGTGGGTGGGGGGTGAGAGGGGGGCTTCACAAAAAATGAAACTAGCCTACAGCATGAACAGAAGTGTTAATGCTTAGCACTTTAATGAGAATTACGGAAAATAATTTCACTGATATCATTGCCCTTATGGCGTATATCATCATCATCATCATCATCAACATCATCATCAATCATCATTTCAAAAATCTATGTTGTTCCAGTATCTCCTGAGGAGGAGGCGGTAAAGCTCCACAGGCGGACTTCGTACCTGATGGCAACTGCGAGAGACCGCTCCAACCAGCAGCCGTACGAGCAGTCCTTCTCACCACCAGCTTCTATTCCCGAGGGACAGTAAGTCGCAGATTCATGTGTCTCTCCACCAGCTTCTATTCCCGAGGGACAGTAAGTCGCAGATTCATGTGTCTCTCCACCAGCTTCTATTCCCGAGGGACAGTAAGTCGCAGATTCATGTGTCTCTCCACCAGCTTCTATTCCCGAGGGACAGTAAGTCGCAGATTCATGTGTCTCTCCACCAGCTTCTATTCCCGAGGGACAGTAAGTCGCAGATTCATGTGTCTCTCCAGCTGGCTTCTGGGTTCAAGCCTCGAGAACCTCATGTTGAGGTGGAGTATCCATGGCAACAAAATCCTGGCACTGTCTTCACTTGGGTCCACATACATGAAGTTACCTCGATGTAGATGTGGCATTTCTAACTGTTATAATATGGTTATAACATATGTTACTGATACCTGTTGTTTAATTATTAAAGGCTCAATGGAAATGCAGTATTTGGAAATGTTCATAGTTTTTAACTGAAGTTGATATAAGTCTTGATTAAGTTTTGGATTACAATATACTGTCTCCAGAAGTCTAATTTTGTCATATTTCAAATGAAAACAGTTACCTGCTGTGGTGCTCACTTCAAAAGGCTATAAAAAATAAGTTTTGGTTCTCAGGCACCGCCCGCATCGTCTTTAAATCTGCCACACGTTTTGTTTTTATTTCCATTTAAAAAAATAATAATTAAAAATCCTAATAACAATGCAATCCAATATAGCATAAAGTTACTTCCCTTTACATGCGCACTGCTTTGCTGTGGAACTCGTGTTATGGTCATGGCAGCAATAGGCATTTGTATGCTTGTTTATGTAGAAAGGCCCTTTCCCAGGTTGATGGTACACAACTGTTTATTTTGTTACATACGAGTTTGGACATGCAGAAAAAGCAACAACAAAAAAACACACGCCCGCACTATATTTTCAAAAGTCATTGCCTGAGAACCAATTCTTTTATTTTCTTAAGCCTAATGAAAGGCTGTGTATGATGGAAGGGAAGTAACTCTTCTCAATGTTTCCACAGGTTGGTCACTCCGCCACACAAACCCAGCTTGAACAAGATCAAGCACTTCTTTGGTGAAAAGGTAGGTATTTTATTCTTTGCTTGTCAGCACTGGGATAATGATGATAGTTTCACCTGAATGTCATGACAGACAAAGCAATAACATCATATTGACAGGGGAGACTCAGGATATAAATAAAACTTCACAGAATTCTCATGAAAGTGTTTTTCTGCAAGGTTCCACTTTTGCATTTCAAGATGGTAATCATGTACATATTTGGCTTTTATGTCTTTGTGGTCTGCACGGTATAACCAGTGAACCATGGTACAAAATTTCAACAATATGTGTTATGATATGATCAATATTGGTGGGTTTATTGAGAAAATATGTAAATGAGGGTATTTCTTTGGGTTTCATTACAATGACTAACCTCAAATGAATAATATTTCTAGCATGCTTCGCTATTTGTCACTGTTAACTCTATTATTAAGTGTTCCTTTGGTTACAAATATGAAAAAGTTGAGACAAATTGTGACAGAACTGAAGAAGATAGAGCCCATCACTCACTCACTCACTCACCGAACCACTCACCCACCCATCCACTCACTCACTCACTCTCACACTCACTCACTCTCACACACTCACTCACTCACTCTCCCTCCCTCACTCACTCACTCACTCACCGAACCACCCCCCCACCCACTCACTCACTCTCACACTGAGTCACTCACTCACTCTCACACTCACTCACTCACTCACTCACACTCACTCACTCACTCTCCCACTCACTCACTCACTCACTCACTCACTCACTCACTCACTCACTCACTCACTCTCACACTCACTCACTCACTCTCACACTCACTCACTCTCCCACTCACTAACTCACTCACTCACTCACTCCCTGATGTCATGCCTCCCATGTTGCAGACCCCCTGTATCATCGAGGCAATGGAGCCAAAGCTTGAGATGCCAGAGTCCCCGCTCCCGGAAATCGTCAAGGAGGGATGGCTGACATGTAAAACCACCATCACAGATGGAAAGGTAGGTTCATTGAGCCGATTCCTTACTTTGAGAGTGATTAGCACAGCCCTCAAAGTTTGTTTTTTGTTAGGGAGCCAAACGGCTCCTAACATGGATATCTTAGGAGCCAAACCCAAGTTTTTGGGAGCCAACAGATATTTTAAACAGATCTTGTCGCAAGTTATGTTGACCTCTAGGTCGAGCAGGGGATAAATTTAGGTCACCAATCATAGATTTAAGTCGCATTTGGCCACCAAAATGGTCGCTACTTCGAGGGCTTTGGTAGCAGTTGGGGGTGGTTATCGAAGGGGATCCTATTCGTTGTACAGACTTGCGTATCATAGGTGTGCTAGAAACCTATGGTCCTGGGTTCGAATGCCAGTTCACCCTGATTATGTTTCTTGGTTTGTCAGCACCATACCTGGCCTCATGGGTTTCACTGAAGTGGTAAAAGTCTTTCATCAGTTGGAGCTTTCCTCCCACATCAGGATGACACTTTGGGATATCACTGAAATACTGTTCAAAACGGCTTTAAACCCAGCTCATAATAGCTTTTGAGAGAAGCATTAGTCAAGGAATGTTGTTGTTTCTGTAAGAAACCGTCTCTGAGGTCCAGTTGATGGAGTGTCTGCCTGGAGAGTGCAAGGTCGGTGGTTTGATGCTACATTAAACCCCATTTCACCTCACCTACAACATATTTTATTAAATTAGTGTTATTCCAACTTTCAGAAATCAAGTGACCGATCGTGGAAGGAGGCCTGGGTCGTACTGCGAGGTCACTGTTTGTTCCTGTTCAAGGAGAGGAGGGAGAGCCAAGTGAGTTCAGTATCCATGGTAACCTGAGTTAAATATGTAAATCAGTGACAGAGGTGAAAAATAGGAAGTTGCTCGTTATGTCAGCCCTTCCATATAAACATAAACGTTCTGACATAAATCCAGTCAAAAAGTTTGTTTGTTTCTTGTTTATTTATGGATCAGACTTGTTGATATTTATCATTAAATTACTGGTCTATTGGCAATTATATCCTTACACATTAAGAATAATTAATTATATTATTTATCAATATATCGATGTATCATGATATTTTTTAGTCTATATATCGATACTGAAATTTCCAAAGTACCTTTATTAGTCATGCTTATAATATTTATTATTATTGTACCATCATGACAGAATGAGATCTGATTGGTCCATGTGATCTTGATAAAATACTATGTATCCGGCCTTGGAGGGAAATAAATTTCTCAGCAGGTGAATTAATCGCTTATACCCTCCCACGAGCAAGACAGGCTACATGTGGCTTTCTGAGAGGAAGAATAAATCTGTTTTACGAAGCTTCGAAACAAAAAGCTGCACCCTTTTTCCGAGTCAATGAAAGTCACGTGACATAGCACAAGCTAACCTCGCCTCAATCGAACAGCTGTTTTCTATCAATTTTGAATTTGTTTGAAATCTTTTACAATGTTATTTTAAATCATGTCGGTAAGATAAATTCCTTGCAGGATCACGAGGGGTACATTGGGTTTTATGCATCCCTCGTTAGGTCTTATACCACTCGCCTCTGACTCTTGCTCTAAAACTTAACGTGGGATGCATAAACTCCCATGTACCCCGAGTGATCCTGCAACAACTTATAATACTGTATTCGATGTAATAAGCGCCCAGGACGCTCTCAAAATAAGAAATAGGGGGCTCTTATTAGAATATTATTTGTTGAAAGATAAATTTTGTGGTTTATGCTGACAGCCTGAAACGTTTATGTACGACAGATATGTTTTTCCAGAATATAATTACATCGAATACGGTGTAGATATTTAAATTTTTTCTTTTCGATGCCAGTTATCCCAGTATTAAATGCCTCACTTAAGGGGTTGACTTGTCGGTATTATCAACACTTGTTTCACCCACAGAGTACCTTCAGTTTTGATGACGAGAAGCCGATTTCCATCAAGTCCAGCCTTGTCGACATCAAACACGAGTACGCCAAGCGGAAGAAGCATGTGTTTCAGCTCGTCACGTACAACGGATCCGAGTACCTATTCCAGGCCGATGATAAGGGTACCATGTTGCTCTGGATACAAGCAATCAAAACCAACAACAACCCAGATTGTGATGTAAGAAAGAGACGTGTAAGAAACTGATCAAGTTGTAGATGTGTTGCTTCAACTTGCTTGTATGCTTGATAAAGCATAATGCCGCTTTGCAAATCATGCCTGCTTGAGACTTTTGGCTATTTTACTCGTAATGAAATCATTTGGTTTATTTGCGTTGTTTTGTGCATTGAGGTTTTACCATATTGAATCGACCGCCTCCATGGTCTAGTGGTAGAGCGTCTGCCCGGATTGCGGAAGGTCCAGGGTTCAAACCCCAGTCGCGTCATACCAATAGACGTCAAAAGATGGTACTTGTTGTTACCCTGTCTGTTGCTCAGCATTAAGGGGCTAAAACAAGGACTGGTCGGCTCGGAGTCAGTATACTGTGTCTGAGTGGGGTATTCATGTTAAACTAGTGAGCTAGTACTATAAATCGGCATCAGTTCGAACTAGTACAAGCAGCCACACACACACTTGCATGCACATCGCTATATAAGTGCAATAATCTTGGACGTGATGTTAAACCCAATTTCATCTCACAATATTGAATCCAGCTAATTATGCATCAATAATTTCATGTTGCTCTTAAATTTGGCTTACGGTTTTAATATTGCATTTTGCCTTCCATACCATTAGGATACCAAGTGTTGCACTAAAAAATTGCTTATTGTTTGAAAGCTATCAAGCTTGTGGTCTATATTTTGGGTTTAATTTAATACTAATCTACTGAAAATTTATTTGTTTTAATGTTCATCTGGTTTTTTATTTACCTTAACTGATACTTAAGTTAAAGTTTTTGATATCATTATGTGTTTGATAATAATTAACTTGTTCTCATCACGATATGGTTGCAATATTGCCGATGCAATGTAAAATTTGAACTCTCTCTGAAAGCTATCAATACAAGTCTTTTGCCTTTCATGGCCATTAGCATACAAAGTGTTGGGATTCATTGTGCAGGAAGTATGTTAACATTGAGTCTGAAATATGTAAACTGTTGCCTCTTAGACAGTGGCTCTGGAACACTTAGAGAAGAAAGGCAGCGTGTTTTAGTATTAGTTTGAAAAGGTATGTTCCCTGCATGGGGATGAGAGTTTTCTTGAAAAAAACCCAGAATGGAGACGTCTAGGGGGCTGCAAGTCGCTATACAGAGTTGCATCCCTTTGGCATGCCGGGAACCTATTATCACGGGTTTGAATTGCAGAATCGCCCTGATTACGTTTCTAGGTTTGACAGCACCATACCTGTGTTCATATGTTTCAAGGGGGCACGGGTGGCCCAGTCGTCTTAAGCGCCATGATTCGCTGTGCAGAGTTGTGTCCCTTGGGCCAGAAACCTATGATTGTGGGTTCAAATCCTGGTTCGCCCTGATTAAGTTTCTAGGTTTGTCAGCACCATACCCATGCTCGTGGGTTTCACCGAAGTGGTAAACGTCTGATACCTGCATCACTTAGGGCTTTCCTCCCACATTAGGCTGACATGCAGTGATATAACAGGAATACTGTTAAAGCGGTGTTAAACCCAACTCACTCACTCATTTGTTTCCAAAAGTGGTAAGACCCGTTAAGATCTGGGCAGAACTCAATTATTTACAGACCGCCGTCATATAGCTGGAATATTGCTGAGTGCGGCATTAAACAACAAACACACACACAAATAAACAAAAAGTGGTAACCATCCCACTTTTAAGCTGACTTGCAATGATATAACTTAAACAGTATTCAAGGCAGCGTTCAGTTCCATTCATTCGCTCACAGTAATGAGTGAAGACGGATCTGTTGTCCCATGGCTTTTTAGCGTCATCAGTAACTGCATGCTTGTTCTATAGCATGAACCCGTGAAGATTCCGGGGTAGAATAGGTCTTCAGCAACCCATGCTTCCCGTAAAAGGTGACTATGCTTGTCGTAAAAGGCGACTAACGGGATCGGGTGGTAATGCTCGCTGACTTGGTTGATGCATGTCATCAATCCCAATTGCGTGGATCGATGCTCATGATATTAATCTCTGGATTGTCTGGTCCAGACTCGATTATTTACAGACCGCCGTCATATAGCTGGAATATTGCTGAGTGCGGCGTTAAACATCAAACCAACCAACCAACCAACCAAATATAGCATGAGATTCTAGGTTGCAGCCAATGTCCGAAATAACTACCTGCCCATGGCTGTAACTGTTCTGTCGGGCTGCATGAAATTGTCTTCGTCCTGTCCGACTGTCTGGCAGATAATTACAGACTACTTACTATTCAATTTTATCATAACTCCTTGTAGATTCTAAAGTTTGTAGTATTTCAAGTGAATCAAGAAGTAATTTGTTTTCGTGATTTTTCAATATTTACGATGCCTGAATGCAGGCAGGTGACTTTGAAGATGAACAGGCAACACTTATGGGTCACCTGCCTGACTTTCTTCTTGGGTTTTAAAAATATTTCAATATGGTAGCAGTTGACAATGTGGTGTTTGACTGGCATGAGACAAGCTTGCTAGGAGAACTGTTTTGCCTGACAGAGGTTCCTTGTTGAGTCGCACAGTGAAAAGGATCATGAAAAGCAGATCTGCTGCTGTGTCCTAGCAACCAGACTGACTTGTTAGTATTCAGGGATTTTATGGATTATGTTGACTTTGTCTCCAGGATGAAGGAATTGGTAACGCCGACCTGATCCGTCGCAAGTCCTCCCAGGCAGAACTGACGGTCAAGACGTCACCCACTGCAACCCACAAGCCTAGCAAGAAACACAGTGCCCTCTCCCTCAAGAAGGCTGCTTCTCCCAGTGTCAAACGTAAGAAGACAGGAAGTGAGAAAGGTGCGTGCTGAGTAATTCGTAATATAGAGATACAGTCAAGTCTCGTTAATCCGACAGTTGACTTTATCCGACACTAATGATGGGAACTGATTTAATCAGTGCTATTTAGACCCGTCAATCCGACAATCTCGCACTCCGACACTCCTAATTTGTAACGAATTACCGAAATCACTAATTAATAAGTCTCGTTAATCTGACAGTGATCAGTGTACTCCGTGGACATCTGCCCGCGGGTACACAGCCCGTGTTTTGATGCGAGATGAGTCGGCTGGTAGCTACATATTACAAAGCTGCAGAGATAAACAATTAATGCTTTAAATAAAGAAAACAGGATTAATCACATGCTTAGATTACCTCAATCTCATTAAAATCAGATACAAGTTCTCGCCATCGCCGAGGACATCACATTACAGGTCACGTCAGAAGAACCTTTCGCGAACTATGACCGACGAACGTTGGTACTACCTACTTAATTTCGTTTATCCGGCATACTCGTTAATCTGACATAATCATATGCAACCAACCATGTCGGATTAACAGGACTTGACTGTAATTGGCTGAGTGTCTTTCCAGATTTTAGATATCACATGTTAGAAATAAGAATTGTATTATCGAATCTACACATTTTATATTTCTAACCACTGACATTTATGATGCAGAAACACACGAGGGTAATAATTTCTTTTTATGATTTCTTTCTTAAAATAATCCATGGTTAAGATGTTGGCTTTTTTTACTCAATGAAGTACTGCGTATGAATACAGTGTTTGAGTAAACCGCCCTATCAATCATATAGTGCCAAGTGCTTTACAGTCATGTTTGTCTACAGGAACACAACATATGAGGAAACCCCTATGTAAACTTACTCATAACGTCAGACAATAATTTATTGATCAAACAGACATTGTATTGATGTATGGAGCTTGAAAGTAGTTCCTGCCAGGCGACCTCATTATCAGATCATGACACTAAGTTTATTAGATCGGTTTATATGTCTATTTTATTTTGAATAATATTTATGATACCGAAATAAACTTGGCACATAATTTCTTTGTAGCATTATACAGTGTCTGAGATTGTCGAGGGGAGGTTCTGTGTGTATGCACCCCCAGAGAGTGCCAATGTCTAAATTATCAGATCATGACACAAAGTTTATCAGATCGGTTTATCTGTCTATTTTATTATGAATAATATTTATGATACCGAAATAAACTTGGCACATAATTTCTTTGTAGCATTATACAGTGTCTGAGGTTCTGTGTGTGTGCTCCCCCAGAGAGCGCCAATATCTAAATTATCCAATATGAATTTCAGACTCCAAGTCGCGGGGTTGGAAGGAACGCATTATGCCAAGCTTCAAGAAACACCATGAGAACAATAGCTCCACCGCCCTGTCTGAAATGGATGAAGAATGTATGAAGACGGCAGCCTTCGGAGTGTCCCTTGACCTGTGTATGCCGTCACCACACAACGAGGTTAGTATTTTTAGAGGCGTAATGACATGAAGAGACTCTTAAGATTGAAGAACTGCCCATGGTTGTAGCAAAAAAAACCTCTACTTATTATCCATGCTGTTGACCTCTATGCACAGAATCATGTTAACATTTTCATTCCTATGTATAGATGTAATTCCAGCGAATATCTGACCTCTATTACGCCATCGCCATAAACCTGTCTTCACACTACAAAAATCTTCAGATTTTTAATAGAAGTCCTCAAAACGGTCAACTCTCCATAATCAGTTGTATGGACAATAGTATTCCAGTGCCTAGTGCTCTTTCGCATGTATAAGGCGTGAAAACCTCACATGTGTTTGTAAAGTTTTTTCTCTGTGACTTCAGTGATTTGTTAGACCTGTTCGGAGGCTGATATTGCAAGAAATGTCAGTGAACAATCCCAAGTGGTAATAAGAATTTCCCAACTTGTAATATTCAATTAATGTTAGTGCTTTATAGAGCTGACTTGTATTTCACTGCTAGCATTCACTCACTGTCTGATATGCGTCCTGTTCCAGTATGTTCCCCTGATCGTGGAGCTATGTACCCGTATTGTGGAGGCGCGAGGTCTGGAGGTCATTGGGGTGTACCGCGTACCTGGCAACTCAGTGGCAGTGCAGAACATGCAGGAAGAGCTCAACAAGGTAGCGTGGAAAACACCAGCCCTTCTTGTCAGATTCAGACCATGAATGCTGTCTCTCTTACAGATCCCAGAGCAAATATTGAGATTATTGTACGAGAATGTGTCATTACGATTTTACGAAACGAGTGTCAGAATTCGTTTATTTCCCGATCGCGCGAGGGCAATACATGAATTCTTACCAAATTTCGTAAAATCAGGGCACACTTGTGAGTTTTATAATTTCTTTTGTAGCCATTATTTCTTAATCCTTTTCAGCTCCCCTTCAGAAAATGCAGTGATCACCACCATTAAAACACAATTTGTCGAATGGTGTCAACAATTTTCAGCTTTGACGACATTTCTAGTGTAATGTCATTTTGACCTTACTTTACAATAAGATCTGAATGACGTCAACAATGCCGTCAGGATGATGGAAACAATGCACTGGTGCACGAGAAGTGATATTTGCACTTGAGCACATACGATTTATATGAATATGGTTATTTCTAACTCTATGGGTAATAAATTATTCTTACAATCACGACATTCTACACTCATCCCCTTCTCATCTCTAGCATCCGTACTTGTCTCCCATCTCCCAGCAGAGTAAAACAATACTCCCTCACTCACTATCAGCAGCAATACTTTTAACAATACAGGTTAAGAGCAGATCTTTTATTTGCAATTTGAGCATGTGACAGTTAATTCTTTTTAAAGTTGCTACCATGTTCGTGGTGTAGTAGATAGTGTCTTGTTGGTGGTAAATGATCAAGGCTCCAGGCTCATCCCTAGAGATACGGTGGAGTGAGCATCTGCCCGGAGAGCGAAGGTCGGTGATTCACTCCCCGCGTCATACCAACAGACGTTAAAAGATGGTAATTGTTGGGACTCTGCCTGGCACACAGCATTAAGGGGCTAAAGCAAGGATTGGTCAGCTCGGATTCAATATGCTTTATCTGAGTTCGTAGCTCAGTGGGTCGGCATAAAACACCGACAGGTCCGGACTAGTACAAGTAGCCACACACAGCATGCACATTGCAATATAAGTGCAATAATCCTGCTCCTATTTATAACAGAGGACAGAATCTTACGTTTATGACTGTATTTTGGATTGCAGGGAATTGAGAATGTTAACATCGACAATGAGAAGTGGTTGGATGTGAACGTGATCAGCTCACTCCTGAAAGCCTTCTTCAGGAAGTTACCTGAACCCCTCGTCACAAACAGTAAGTTGCCATGTAACATGTTAAGCTACTTCCAGTGTTTTGTTTGTGCAGGAACCTAAGCACTTTAAGCCAACAGGCAGCCAAAAAATGTTAAGTACGCAAGGATAATTTTGCAGTCTTTTGAATCTAGGGCAGGGATAGAGATCGGCTACTACAGTAGTCCGTTAGTCCAAGACAAGTAAAAATTAAGACAGATGTTTTATCCCTAATTCTAGTTATTGTTAAGAGGCAACTATCAGGAGTGGGTGGTCAGCCTTGGATTTGGTTGATGCATGTCATCGCATCCCAATTGCATTGATCGATGCTCATGATGTCAGTCACTGGATTGTCTAGTCCAGACTTGATAATTTACAGACTGCCGTCATATAGCTGGAATATTGCTGAGTGTGGCGTTGAACTACAAACAAACAAACAAACAAACAATATTCTACATAACCACTTAGCTGTGGACTAGTTGGATATGACCAATGGTGTCTTCCCCTAATGGGATTCCCTAACTCATGAACTTTTAACAATGGAGTTATGACAAGGACCACGATTCACAGTTTGATTCTATTTGAAATTTGACAAAGTGGAATTATTCATAATTTTGCAATAACTGCAGGTCACTACTTAAGCTAGCATAACTCAGTTTGATTGACTGATTTTACTATTGGAACAAACGTAATGAACCAAGACTGTTGAACACAAAATGGTTCTTAGAGTCAACCGGAGTGAACCGACATATTTGTTGAACCCTTGTGTGCTAGTTCTTGATGTACCTATGTGTTAAATGTCTCTGTGCTGTTTACAGAATGTTATGGGAGTTTCATCGAAGCTAATCGTATTTCGGACCCGGAGAAGCGGATGCTGAAGCTGAAGAGGCGGCTACATACTCTTCCAGAGCATCATTTCGAGACATTTAAGAGGATGGCGGAGCACCTGAACCGGGTGGCAGCCTACGGACACATTAACAAGGTGGGGATTGGTAGTTGTCACATGTCTCACTCTGGGGGTTCCACAGAATCAACAGTGTATATTGAATATATTCCTCTTGCTTTGATCACAAACAATTTTTCATGGAATATTGCTAAAAGCAGCATTACACCCTTCTCACTCATGATGATGATGATTATGATGATGATGATGGTAACAACGGTGATGATGATGATGATGATGATGATGATTATGATGATGATGATGATGATGGTGGTGATGATGATGACGATGATGATGGTGGTGATGATGATGACGACGATGATGATGACGATGATGATGATGATGATGATGATGATGATGGTGGTGATGATGATGATGATGATGATGATGATTGCCCCATGCCACCCGTGCTTGTAAGAAGGGACTAACAGGATCGTGTAGTCAGACCAACTGACTTGGTTCATGCATGTCATCATATCCCAATTACGTAGATGATGCTCATGATTGTTATTATTACTATTATTTCAGATGAATGCCAAAAACCTTGCCACAATGTTTGGTCCCACCTTGATTCGTAAATCCGAGGATGACACAATCTCCATGGTTACAGATATGTCGGATCAGTGTCACATCGTTGAGAGCATCATCATTCATGTGAGTACCAAGAGTTACCTCCCCTGAAGGCAAAGGGAGGAATTTCCTTTTAAGATTGTGATACTTACTTCTGAATGTTGTAAAGTAGTTAGACAACGCTGTGTGGTGTTATTCACCAAACAATATCGAACATCATGAGGGACCCACCGATCAATATTCTGGGGGACAGACATTTTCCAAACATTGTGATTGTATCCCATTTTATGAAGGGAGGTGCCGATAAAAAAACAATTTGGTCAAGTATTTCATGTGAGGACAAATCATTATTTTCCATTTTGGGGGGAAACGTATTCACTTTTTCAGTCCCTGAGTTGGGTTTTTACACTGATTTGAACAGTATTCCAGTTATATCACAGCATGTCAGCTTAATGTGGGAGGAAAGCATGAAGTGATGCAGGTTAGACGTTGACCACTTTGGTGAAACCTATGAGCATGGGTTTTGATGGTGCTGACAAACCTAGAAACGGAGTCAGGGCGAACCAGGATTCAAACCAGGATTCGAACCCACGATCATAGGTTTTTGGCATTCCCAAGGGATGCAACTCTGCATACTGAGTAGTGTTGCCAATGACAACTGTGCCATCCATTCCCCCTCATATTTTGGATATGTTACAACGCTATTCTTATATGCTACTGATAAAGTAAGCTCAGAGAGATTGGGAATGGATTTGGGAATATTCTCACAAGTTAAAAAGTTTTCAAAAATTCATTTCCTACAAAGCAATTGGTAAGGCTCTCTTAGCATGATTTGAGTGTTGGTCTGTGACAAGATGTCAGCGTTATATTCTGATACCCCTTTCTTCTGGCAGTTTGACTGGTTCTTCAGTTCTTGGGAGGACGACCACACTGTCCCCTCCGAGGAGGTCTGCGAAACCCCGGTCACCTCCGACGTCCGAGTCATGCGAGATGATGACGGTGAGTTTATGTGGATGAAGTCTTGTGTCCTTGTGAAGGATGACGTGTTGTGTCCTTGTGAAGGATGAAGTGTTGTGTCCTTGTGAAGGATGACGTGTTGTGTCCTTGTGAAGGATGACGTGTTGTGTCCTTGTGAAGGATGACGTGTTCTGTCCTTGTAAAGGATGACGTGTTGTGTCCTTGTGAAGGATGACGTGTTGTGTCCTTGTGAAGGATGACGTGTTGTGTCCTTGTGAAGGATGACGTGTTCTGTCCTTGTAAAGGATGACGTGTTGTGTCCTTGTGAAGGATGACGTGTTGTGTCCTTGTAAAGGATGACGTGTTGTGTCCTTGTGAAGGATGACGTGTTGTGTCCTTGTGAAGGATGACGTGTTGTGTCCTTGTGAAGGATGACGTGTTGTGTCCTTGTGAAGGATGACGTGTTGTGTCCTTGTGAAGGATGACTTGTTGTCCTTGTGAAGGATGATGCGTTGTGTCCTTGTGAAGGATGACGTGTTGTGTCCTTGTGAAGGATGACGTGTTGTGACCTTGTGAAGGATGACGTGTTGTGACCTTGTGAAGGATGACGTGTTGTGTCCTTGTGAAGGATGACGTGTTGTGTCCTTATGAAGGATGACGTGTTGTGTCCTTGTGAAGGCTGACGTGTTGTGGTATTATATAACAAGCTATTGATTAATCTTATGACAGAAATATCTATGTTGTAATGGATATATATGACGTGTTGTGTCCTTGTGAAGGATGACGTGTTGTGATCTTGTGAAGGATGACATGTTGTGTCCTTGTGAAGGATGACGTGTTGTGTCCTTGTAAAGGATGACGTGTTGTGTCCTTGTGAAGGATGACGTGTTGTGTCCTTGTGAAGGATGACGTGTTGTGTCCTTGTGAAGGATGACTTGTTGTCCTTGTGAAGGATGATGCGTTGTGTCCTTGTGAAGGATGACGTGTTGTGTCCTTGTGAAGGATGACGTGTTGTGACCTTGTGAAGGATGACGTGTTGTGTCCTTGTGAAGGATGACGTGTTGTGTCCTTATGAAGGATGACATGTTGTGTCCTTGTGAAGGCTGACGTGTTGTGGTATTATATAACAAGCTATTGATTAATCTTATGACAGAAATATCTATGTTGTAATGGATATATATGACGTGTTGTGTCCTCGTGAAGGATGACGTGTTGTGTCCTTGTGAAGGATGACGTGTTGTGATCTTGTGAAGGATGACATGTTGTGTTCTTGTGAAGGATGACGTGTTGTGTCCTTGTGAAGGATGACGTGTTGTGTCCTTGTGAAGGATGATGTGTTGTGCCCTTGTGAAGGATGACATGTTGTGTCCTTGTGAAGGATGACGTGTTGTGACCTTGTGAAGTATGACGTGTTGTGACCTTGTGAAGGATGACGTGTTGTGACCTTGTGAAGGATGACGTGTTGTGTCCTTGTGAAGGATGACGTGTTGTGCCCTTGTGAAGGATGACATGTTGTGTCCTTGTGAAGGATGACGTCTTGTGTCCTTGTGAAGTATGACGTGTTGTGACCTTGTGAAGGATGACGTGTTGTGTCCTTGTGAAGTATGACGTCTTGTGTCCTTGTGAAGGATGACGTCTTGTGAATGTCCTTGTGTCATGTGAAGACATAATTATGTGTTGTGATTAAGATAAAGCTTGGGGAAATATGTTTATAAGAATACTTGAAATATGATTGTGATCTGTTTATAAGATAACTTGAAATATGACTGTGACCTATCTAAAAATATAATAAGCTATTGATTAATCTTATGACAGAAATATCTATGTTGTAATGGATGTATATTTTCATTTCAATATCAGGAAACTGGTAAGCTCAATATTGAGGTATCGACCATGAGGTTATTGATGCTATGTTATTGTTTGCAGAGGACCTTGATTCGGTGATCAACACCCGCGAGATCGTCTCCTCTATCATCAGTGCTGCCCACAAGAAACTCCACAGCAAACAAAACCAGAAGAGCATGGACTCACTCGACTTTGACGAGTCCTTCAATGAGCGTGATATCGACCTTGAAATTAGTCGGAAGGGAAGCAGTGCCACCAAGATGAGCAAGTCACAATCCACGATCAGCTCCGTTCCATCGTCTCGCAGTATTTCTGAGGAATTCCTTGATCGTAAACTATCCTCCTCGACTATGAAGTCACTTCCACAATCAACTGTTGACGAGACAGATTCGCTGGACTTTGACTGCACGGATAGCAAGTCTGAGTTTAAACCACAATCAAAGTCTTTCAATGTGAGTACATTTTCCCGGCATTACTCTGATGAGTCTTTGCTTGATAGGAACGATGAATTAGAGATGTCGCACGGTATGAGCAGTACATGGAGTTTGAGCCGAGATACCCTTGATCGGTTGAAACGGATCGAGTATGAGGCACGCGCTCTTCGTGAACGAGAAGAACAGCGTCAGAGGGACATGGAAAAATGTCGTCGTGAGCAACAGCGGATTGAGCAGGAGTATCAGAAGACGAAGAAAGAGATGGAGATGGAAGAGACGCATAGTGTAGAAGATTTGTTGAACTGGAGACCAGACTACTCACACCGACTCCAGGATGTGCCCGTGTCCGAGTATTCCGGGAGTGACAGCCGTGGATCTGTTGGGGCAGGTCACAGACATTATCCTTCCACAGACTCCTCCCAGTCTGGAGGTCCCTCAGATGGGAAGGTCCAGTTACGGAGACCGGAATCACAGCAGGACAGGGGTCATGGGGGGAAGTATTTTGTCAGTATCGGGAACACTCGGGGAAGGTCCAGGGAAAGAAGTGGTGGTCGGGTAACCCAGGGAAGCCTCGACTCCCTGGCTCCTCGCTTCTCCCGAGCTGGTTCCTTGGAGAATATATTAGACAGTCACGGCCACATCCACCCACCGCAGTCTCACGTGCGTGGGCCGAGCTATCGTCAGAGGGACGGGCGGAGAGATTCTAGGCATGAAGGTGAGAAAAAGAGACCTCATGGGAATCTGAGTCGAGGGGGGTCTGTTCGACACGGGTCACTCGACTCATTGATTGATTTGTATGATAAACAGGACAATCGTGGTTCGTGGGCATCGTCTGATTCAGAAGATGGGTCAGATCTGCTTACAAGTCTGACTACGACCTTTGATCAGAAGTTACAAATTCTTTTGAATCCTAAGTATAAACTGAGTGGTAGCAGGAGAGGAGGACACAGGGCAGAGGACGTGAGTAGTGCTAGTAATGTGGAGGACGCTGTAGAGGACAAGGACAATGATGTGGAGAAGACTGTGGAGGTCGTCCCCCACAAGAACACTCCAGTGGTCCTCCCTCAACATGGGGTGCCTGGAATAGGGGATTTTTCTCGGGACAGACCTTTCCGGGACCCAAGTCTCCACCGGTCCTCGAAATCTGAAACTAAAATCGGTATTGCATCTCGCTTTGAGCGAGGGAGTCAAGTCACGCAGCCTCAGTCCACTGCAACAGTTCTTCCTGTTACCGGGAGTCCACAGTCGTTGCAGAATCGAAAGTCTACTCAGGAACTAAAAGCCTTTCCATTTAAGTTCACAGGAAAACCTGTGAATGAAACGGGTGCTACAGTGATGGTGACATCGCCGCCGACGTTGACCCAACCAAAGAAACTGGAAACGAAACCTGTGAGTAAATCTGATTTTAGACCTATCTCTAAGTCAGAAAAGACTGAAGTTAATTCCACACTGGCCAAGTTGAGCCGGGAAGAGAAATATTTCAGTGGCAGAGACGCTGTAAAGTCAGCTGTGTTTTCTAAACCTGCTTGCAGATCCGAGTCCCCAGTCGGTGACAAGAAGCGCACAAAACGGTCAAAGCGACGTCACACTGTTGGAGGCACAAACGACTTGGAGCATTTCAAGGCTTTGATTTCCGTCACAAGCGGAAAAGAGGCGGAAACTGAACCTAAAGTGTCTGCTTGGGAACAGTTGCAGCCAGTTGTCAAGGAAACGGCAGTACCAGAGAACAGGTCCTTGTTGTCATGGATACAGTCCGAAAGACTTCGTGGAAGTACACCAGATTTAACATCGGAGTCCAAACATTAGATGTTACCATGGTTGCAGAATGTGAGAATGTTGTTACCGAACCAGTGTGCAAGTTGCAATTTTGTTTGTGCATTTAGTAAGAGAACTGAAGTAGTTAAAACTGGGACTGCAATGTTGATGGGTTCTGTTTTTGTTTACAGACTGTACAAACGTGGAGTGCTTATTGAATTTGATTGGAAACTGCCATTTGTGTACATTTTCATCTGTGGTGAATGCTTCTCTACCATTTGCAAGGTTTACCATGAATATTGTTGTGGTGGTCGAGTTGTTGAGGTTAATATTTTGAATTTACAAAATGATACTAGAATGTGATCCCATGATTTTTAATTCAATTCAAAGGCTGAATCATTTGTTACATTTTTAGCATTAAAGTATAAGAAAATTTAATTAATGAAAGCAACTCCTTAAATCTGTCTTACAATTAACACTACCAACCATACATATCTATCAGACAAGTTTGAATATTCATATGCCTTATTAATATTCATAAACTTACTAAATATGTGAAGGTTGATATTTACTTGGAAATATCCCTTAATTTGCTTACTGTATTACAATTTATAAGTGCTAATAAATGTCTTAAATAATGAGATATCCTTAATCTTGAAAATCCTTTGAAAGTGATATTTTATTGTCCATATAAGTATGTTTTTTTCTGAAAACTTTGTATTATTTTATGTATCTATATTTGTTTTCATTTAATTCACCCAACATGAAACTGAACTTTTGATGCAATATTAGGTTCTAGGTTGACAAAATTGGTATTTTGCAATATCGACGATGGACTGTTTTTTTCATGCATGAATGTTTGGACTTGTATAGAATTTTAGTGAAACATTGATTTTATGAGCTGGTCTCCGTTAACTTTTAAACCTTTTTTATTTTTGCAAACTTTTTTGACAATTTACCTATTATTTATGACATGAAGTGAAATTGAAAATAGGACATTTGTAAAGTAAAAAAATAATATAGTGCTGCCCTTTTCCATTCAGATAGTGGACTGTTATTTGTAATGTGTGAATTGAATTTTTGTAAGAAGGTTAAGTAGAAATAGATATATATTCCTGATTAAATTGTTAAGAATGTAATACTTATTAGATTAAGAAATAGGTGACAAGTATCTTGAAAATATTATGTTGAGATTCATATGTTATAACAAGTTGATACTGATAAGTAAAACTACTTGGAAAGTTTGTATTGCATTGCCACATTTGTGATGATATTGAGATTTGGTGACTTGATCATATTACCGGTATTCTTAAGAGCTTCACAATAGAAATTGGCTGTTTTGATAATAATTAGAACCATGTCTAGGTCCCTTTGAAGATTAACAGGACAAAATGTTTCTTGTTTTGAGGATAAGACTGCTTTTGGCAAATATAATTTTTAAAAATAAAAGTATGCACTCAATTTTTCTTTATGTTAAATATGTACCCATTGTTAAGAATTGCACTTTATGAGTTTATTTTAGAAACTTTACTTAATATAACCTGTGATTTTTTTATTGTTCCTTGAGAATTGAGGCACATTTACCCAAAAAATCCACAAAACAAGAAATATAATTGACCTGGCCTTCGTTGGTTTGTTCATGTTGGAGGTGTGCGAAAATGTATCATGCTTAAGGCAGGTTTTCATTAATGAGTCTTCATACGTATTAACACTGATGATCATCAAATTCCACAGATACAAATGAAGCTTAAGACTTGCAGCCACTGATTATCATCAGGAGCTGTTAAAGATTTAATGATCTATATACTTAGGAATTTAAGTCTCAACAAGCATGTTTGTGTGAGGGAACCATATGCCAAAATCAAAGACAAACAGATTCATTTTTGTGATATTAACTACTGATAGCAGATAAACTAGTTTTGGTTTTACACTACATCATTTTAAGACCTTTGTTCTGTTTCAAGGATACATGTGGTTTTTCTTCTCAATAAATAGCATTAAATAATTTAATACCTCCCAGAATACTGCATAAAATGCAGATATTAAGTATTCTTAGTGTTAATGTTAACAGTTTGACAGTAAGACTTAATAATAAGACTGATACTTATTAAACAGAAATATGATTTTCATATTGAGTGAAGATGACATTTTGATAATTCTTAAATGAATATGTATCTTCTTGCCTTTTATAAAGTGCGTCTTCCTATTTTTTTATCACTTGTTCCCTGAAAACATTCGATTCTTCTACTCTCTTGTTCAGTATTATTTATTTTTTGTGTAAGTTTTTTCATTTTGTTTTTCTTTTTGCTGATGTGTAGATTTCTGCTCATTGTGAAATAGTAACTTTAAGATCTACATTGTAACACTATGCAGTATTCTGGTTTAACAGACGGAAGTACATTCAAGGTGATTTAGCAGCTTTCATGCCTCAGTCTTTATCGTTTTCAGTCATTTCAGCGGACACATGTACTTTTTCTCATATTTATGAAAATATATGAGGTATGTATATGGGGGGTGTAATAACACTAGTCTCCATAAGAGCCTATCTTTACATGCAAAAATACATTGTTTTAAAGTTATTTCTGTTTTTGTGTTTTTCATAACCAAACTAACAATCACTGTTTTCATTTAAAATTGTTGTTCCTTTTGGCTGCCAACTTGAATCAATCCAAAGTGGTAAACTGTGAGTTCCTGTTGACCTCCTGCTGATTCTGATTTCCATTCTAGGGACTCTCTGTGTGATAGATGTTAAAACAATGCAAATAAACATTTCACCCCAAGAGTTAAGAACCAACCATATTATTTGGGGTTTGGGTAGGGGTGTGACAGAATTATCTGTCTCTAACAAAACAAATCACAGCAAAATATTTGTCCCTTGTGTTACCAGAATGTCCAGTTATAAAGAGGTAATATGTTTGATAAGTTTTAACTAAATAACAATTACATTACTGAAAAAATAGCTGCCAATTTGAATGGTTTTTTTTGCATATCTAGGGTATATTATTATAAAAGAAAGAATGTAATGTTTACAATTTCATCAGGTTTCACTGCCAAACAGTATTGGTCCTCCATGCCAAAGACACAGGGTGGGGGTACATCCAAAAGTATATTGTTGACCAAATGATGTTAATTATCTATTGGGATCATTTTGTTTTTAATTTTGGCAGTTCATTTTGACAATATAGAAACACATTAATCAGTGCAAGGAGTGACACATAAGGGCTATATTCTTGAGTTGGTTTGTTTGTTGTTTTACGCCGCACTCAGCAATATTCCAGCTATATGACGGCGGTCTGTAAATAATCAAGTCTGGACCAGACAATCCAGTGATTGAGATCATGAGCATCGATCCATGCAATTCGGACCGATGACATGCTTCAACCAAGTCAGCGAGTCGATCACCCGATCCCCTTAGTTGCCTTCTATGACAAGCTTAGTTGCCTTTTATGGCAAACGTGGGTTGCTGAAGACCTATTCTACCCCGTATCTTCATGGTATGTTATTCAGGAGGGTTATAAGGGTTAGTTTACATGTCCTTTGTCATTCAGAAACAAGGAACAAGGGTTATACCAAGGGTGACATCTTATCCCTATTGATTTGACTGAACATTACAAAGACTGGGGCATACAATCTACATTGAACCTGTTCCATTCTATGTGTATATTTTTGCAACATACATGTAAATATAATAACAGTGGATGTGTTGATGAAGTAAACCTACTGTATAATGATGCTTTAATCTTGTTAACAACTGCGGAACGCTCATAAAACGCCTGTAATAAATTACATGTAAATATCAGTTTGTGGTGTTGTTTGTAGAGTGTCAAGAACAGAGAGTCAGTTTGTTGTAACACTGCTTTAAACAGTATTGCAGTTGCATCATGGTGTGTCAGATGGATGCAGGAGCAAAGTGCCAACTGGTGCAAGTCTTTGATGTTACCGTATTCGACGTAATAAGCGCCCCGCTCTAATAAGCACTAATATATTGGCTCGTGAACAATCCCAATTAGCACCCTTCCAATTGATCAATGTGCAAAAGACTTATTTATTCAGACATAATATGTGTGTTATATGCATCCTTAATCATGGGAAATTAAATTCAGGAAAAGTATATCTGTCGTATATAAACATTTAAGGCTGTCAACATAAACCACGAAAATTAAGATCTTTCAACTCTGTTGTTTTTCACCAAAATAATATTCTAATAAGGGCCCCCAATTTTTAATTTTTATTATATCGAATACGGTACTTTGATGACACCCATGAGTTGTTTGTGTTCAGAGGGCTCAATGAGAAGGAGTGTGGATGTTTTACAAAGCTTGAGGCAGGCAGTACCTGCCAGGGGACTCCAGGAGTGATACGTATTTGATGAATATGCCAAGGTACATCGTCAATACTCCACTGTAATAAAGGAACATAGTGTATAAATGACTGTCAGGTCCGGAATTCTATCCCTGGCCATGTCATACCAAAAGACGTCAAAAGATGGTACTTGTTGTTACACTGTCTGGCGCTCGGCATTAAGGGGCTAAAACAAGGACTGGGCGGCTCGGACTCAGTTACTGTTTCTGAGTCGGGTATTCATGTTAAAACTGCGACGTGGTGGGTAGCACTGTAAATCGGCATCAGTCCGGACTAGTACAAGCGCGCGCACGCACGCACACACACACACACACACACACACACACACACAAATGGACAGCGACCTTTGAAAACAATAAGTGCAAGATTTAGTGGTTTAGCCCATACACACGACAAGTAACAGTCGATGTGGGTATAAACTGGTTCATATCAGATGCAAATGAACTGCAGCCTTGGAAGTTGTTTTGGATTTGGAGAAAACGAAACTGGTATTGAATGGGTAAAAGAAGAGGACACTGAATGAAATTTCGATTGGTCACAGAAATGACTTAAATTATCAGGCATAGATTTTATGTAAATTTGGACGAAATAGTTGAACCTAAAAAACTTGAAAAGATAAAGAAGGACATGAATGTATGGTCCACAAGAACTGTGACACCAATAGGACACAATGAAATACTCAAATCACTTCTTTGCCAAAGTTAAATAATCCTTTCTCATCCTACCAAGCCCACCAGTCGAAATAATACAGGCATTTCAGAAATGATTTATATTTGTTTGGACTGGAAAACCCGATAAGATGAAAGGAAATATCATCTCCGCCTAAGTATGGAGGTATAAGTTAATATAGTCTAATATGTTCATGCATCGCAAAAACTCCAGTGGATCAGAAGGATAGTCAGTTACAGTTCAAAGTGGCTAAATCATGCATCATCATGTATTCCAAATGCACAGGGATTATATTTCTCCGATTCAGTCTACATTACAAAGTAAATTGGTCCATATGTCTCAAAATTATTAAGGAAGGGCGTTTTAATTGCTTGGTCTTTACGGTGAGACAAATATTGTACAAAGGTAAAATATGTGTCAGATCTGATGTGACTGTCTTTATGTGTAGGATAAGAGATTTAAAATCCGAATCCGGGGGTGAGAACGAGGGTGTCACCCTCGATGTTTTCTCCCGGGGGTGAGGGTTTAAATCTTATAAAATCCTCTGAGGGGTGGTGTGTTATTCTATACTTATAAATCGAAAAAATAAATCTGAAACAAAATCTATCAACCATTTTATGTTTCAAACATAACCATAGGAACGGGCGTAAGCTTTCTCTTGCTAGCGTTCATGAATTTGAAAACCAGATTCTTAAAAGCTTTGTGATTTATCAGCGCCTCGGATACGAGGGTTGCAAATAAAAGCGACAAAACCCTTTCCATATAAGGAGGATCGCCTACGATTCCGACTTTATCATGAACATAGGTTTATTAATAAAAAAAAAAAGAATAAAAAAAGAGAAAAAAAAGAAAAGAAGGTTTATTAATCACTATCAACTAGCGATCGATGCTACCAGGCGTTAGCGAAAAGGTGAGCGTATCCTGCCCTACCAGTGGTACCGGTCACAAACACAAGCAAAGGTAAGTCAATTGTTCACCTGAAAAACACACGGGAGCATATGGTAAAGTCACAAAAGGAAATTGCATCGGACATAATTGTTGTCACTGATGCGTCAAATTTGGAAATGCCCTTCTCATGTCTACCATAAAACATTTTGAAACTTTATGCACTCCTGATTTGTGCTTGTGGTATTCCTCATCTACTCCAGCACCCATTTTTACCGACAGTGCACTGTTGAGCTCATTGTTTAATATTGTTTCAGGACGGTATAAGTAAATTATTAAAGGGTCACCTTGTTATGTACCGCAGTTTTAATGAGTGAGTGAGTGAGTTGGGTTTAAAGCCGCCTTTAACAGTATTCCAGTTATATCACGGCGTGTCAGCTTAATGTGGGAGGAAAGCCAGAAGTGATGCAGGTCTCAGACGTTTACCACTTCGGTGAAAGCCACGAGCACGGATATGGTGCTGACAAACCTAGAAACATAATCGTTGCGAACCGGGATTCGAACCCACAATCATAGGTTTCTGGCGTGCCCAAGGGAAGCAACTCTGCACAGCGAATAGCGGCGCCTTAGACGACTGGGCCACCCTCAATCCGTGTAGAGAAGTGATGTTAACGAATATATGGAAGTACATGTATACTTTCTTTACACCACGAACATACTTGTCTCCATTAAGAAACTATAAAACGAATACATTGACTACGTCCTCAAGTAGATGTCATCAGTTCAAAAACCCCGCGAGGATTCAGCTTCAAGATTCAAGATTCAGCTTTAAATGCTGACTGCTCGTATATCAAGTATATCAACCATCCAGAGCATTAATTTCAGCACGAGAATACCGACTCGTCGTACCAGACACCAAAACAAAGTCGACTGAACGCTCTTTCTCTGTTGCCAGTCGAAAGCTCTGGAACTCTATACTACATGTACTGGAACTGACACAAGTAGACACTCTTGATTCTTCCGACGTCAATCTAAAACCTTTCTTTTTGTTTGTTTGTAGTTTAAGGCCGCACGCCGCAATATTCCAGCTATATGACGGCGGTCTGTAAATAATCGAGTCTGGACCAGACAATCCAGCGATTGACATCATGAGCATCGATCCACGCAATTGGGATACGATGACATGCATCAACCAAGTCAGCAAGCCTGACCAGCCGATCCCGTTAGTCGCCTAGCATAGTCGCCTTTTACTGCAAGCATGGGTTGCTGAAGACCCATTCTACCCGGGATTTTCACGGGTCACCTTTCCTTTTACGCAAGCTTATTGACATGTCATCTATATTTCCGATAACGCCACGGAACAGTTGTATGTAGCTGGGCGGCTAGGCACTTTATATGCGGATTACAATGAGAACATGTTCCCAACAACCCCTGAGAGGACTTTAAAGTATCGGGTCGTCAGGATCGGTGACTTGGTTCATAGCGTGTCATCGTACCCGACGACGTGGATCGTTGCTCATAATATCAACCACTGGTCCAGACTTGATTACTTACAAGCCTCCGTCATATGCCACGAGTAATTCGGTGTTAAACAGACAAACAAACATTAACATCTATCCAATTAACGCCGTGCCATAATATCCGGGTCTATTATCAGGAAAAATATGCTAAAACCACTTTCGTAAAAAAAATAGTGGAAAACAACGTGCTGTCGCTTTGACAGTTTAATCAATAAGGTAAAGCAAAACAATATAAAATATTTAAGTCGTTAGGTTACACCAAAGTAGCAAGACAGACAATGAATTCGATTCTCAACCTACGTATTTCCTTTGAATCAACGAGACCATTTGTTTTGGTGACATGGATAATTCACATTGAATTCTACGGTCTGGCCGCCTCATTTAATGGCTTAACGCGAAGCGTGATGTTATAAACATTTTCATCACGCCAAGTAACTTCAGCGTTCATGTTGACGTAAGGATTCAAACATGACAAACAAACACATGGTTCAGATTGAGTGAATGAGTCAGTATGGATTTACGCCCCTTTTAGCAATATTCCAGCAATATCACGGCGGGGGACACCAGAAATGGGCTTCACATATTGTACCTATGTGCGGAATCGAACCCAGATCTTCGGCGTGACGAGCGAACGATTTAACCACCAAGCTATCCCATCGCCCTGGTTCAGATTGACAATTGGTATTTTGATGAAGCATTGGCATCCATCAATTCTGATATTCACAAGCAAATTCTGTGAGCAATAGTCCATACGTAGATGTCAAAATAAAATAAGGGGCAAAAAACGTATACCGAGTTTTTCTTTATGGAACTTAACATTGAAAGAACTGTTTTAAATTGATTATGTCATTGCTGCATCATTTCGTAAAAACTAATCTGTGACTGGGTAATTTTGTGTAAAAGTAAATTGGTTCATTGGAGACTGGGGTAAAAAATGATTTGAGACTACATGACCCCTACCCTGTTTGAAATGTGGTAAACATGTGTCGAAAAAAATATGTTTTAATAGATTTTCAAAGATAAGATGTCATCAAAATTTGTGGATCATGCGAATTTTTGTTGTAATTTTGAAAAGTTTTATATCAAAATATATTTTTAAATGTAAAAGTATTCTTTGAGTGTTGTCTAAGCGCCATTATAGTTCATATTTTGGACATAATATTAACTTAAAATATTTTCAATTGAAAATCAACCATACGTTATAATCAGCTGAGAGGTATATTTTATTTTGGTTCTCACTTCATAATTCGAATATTTTGCGACGATTAGGGAGCTGCAGTGAAATCTCAACAGAAAGACATAATATACATAATTACTAGTTGCGTGCAACAGTGGGCAAACCTCATTGGGCGGATGCTCTACCACTAGACCACGGAGGCGGTCCACGAGTTTGGTAATCCCAGGGGTTGACACCATTGGTCATATCCAATTGTGTACAATATTGTTTGTATGTTTAACGGCGCACTCAGCAATATTCCAGCTATATGATTGCGGTCTGTAAATATTGCGGTCTGGACCAGACGTTCCACTAATTGACATAATTGGCACACGATGACATGCTTCGACCAAATGAACCAGCCTGACCACCCTATCCCATTAGTGGGGGCACGGGTGGCCCCTTCGTCTAAGACGCCGCGATTCGCTGTGCAGAGTTGCGTCCCTTGGGCACGCCAGAAACCTATGATTGTGGTTTCGAATCCCGGTTCGCCCCGATTATGTTTCTAGGTTTGTCAGCACCATACCCGTGCTCGTGGGTTTCACCGAAGTGGTAAACGTCTGAGACCTGCATCACTTCAGGCTTTCCTCCCACATTAAGCTGACACGCCGTGTTATAACTGGAATAATGTTAAAAGCGGCGTTAAACCCAACTCACTCATTATCCCATTTGTCGTCTCTAACGACAAGCGTGGGTTGCTGAACACCAATTCCAACGGATCCTTTGAACCTAGAAGTAATCCGATTCAGGTCATATAAGAAAACCACATTTTCATCAATTGGGGCTAATTTGTAAGACATGAATACCTGAAAATAATTTCATACTTTGAAGTTTACACTGTTTCTTTCATGCTGATTGGCTGAATGGGTAGTCACGTGATCTGATATTTGGAGTTCACACACCTGTGAACGGACAGAAAAAGTTCACACGATGTGAACAATTTTTGTGTGAAATTGTTCGTGTGAACTACTTTCCGGGGTTTCCCCGAATTCTCGATCGGTGTTTACAATCAAGTAGCTTTTTCTACTATCTTTTTAATCCCTGCATTCTTCAGCAATATAGTTAATTAAGCATTTTTGTCTGGTCTTGTAACATTTCAAATGTCTTAGAAATAAAGCTCGGAGGTTCACACAGTTTAACCAGCGCTTTTAAATCGTTCATACTTCAAAGAACCCATCCAAACTGATGTTCAATTCTTAAGCGATTTTGTTATATTGATTTTCGGTTCGTTAATCCCACAGGAAAACCGTCATGGGATTAGACGGTAATATACCGTGACACTTACCAGTTAAGTAGGTACTTTAGACTATCCACAAGGGACGCACAGACTTGGTCATATGATATGAAGGCATGATGGCAGTCACTGACATGGAATAGTTACACAATGTGTCATTACGAGTACATAATCGATTAAGGTTCATGTCTTTCAATATGGGTACGTAACGTTGTGAACAAAACAAATGTGTTTCGAAAGAACAAACATATTGTCCAGATGCATGTGTTAGCATGGGATAAAACTCTGTATACTTTACGTTCTAGTACACATGCTCTATAACCTGCCAGAAATCTAGAATCGGGGGTTCGAATATAAGATATAAGATAATGTCACCACCACCACCACCACCACCACCACCTCCACCACCGCCACTGCTACTACTACTACTACTACTACTACTACTATTACTACTACTACTACTACTACTACTACTACTACCAAAAAACATTTCCATATCCATAAAAAATAGTGGACTTTACGATTCAAACTTTATCATAAGTATGTGTTTCACTCACGCACTCACTCACTCACTCACTCACTCACTCACTCACTCACTCACCATCCCATCCACCCTCCCATCCACTCTCCCACCCACCCACCCACTCACTCACTCACTCACTCACTCACTCACTCACTCACTCACTCACTCACCATCCCATCCACCCTCCCATCCACTCTCCCATCCACCATCCCACCCACCCACCCACCCACTCACTCACTCACTCACTCACTCACTCACTCACTCACTCACTCACTCACTCACTCACTCACTCACTCACTCACTCACTCACTCACTCACTCATATTATGTTTGCATGTGATATTGCTTGGCAAAACCCAACCAACGAGAGAATGTTTTTAAACTTTCCATTGATCGTTAGTCCCGAAGTAGAATACCGTGCAAATAATCACAACTATGTCCAAAACCAGGTTACAGGCACTATCACAATCAGAAGTCACACCTGTCAGGTGTGGTGTGAAGAATCACCTGTTTGTCACTACCCAGCACTGTAAACATGAAGACGGTTGTGGCTCTCTGTGTTGTGTTGGTGAGTATTTCCCCCGTATTGAGGCATACATCACACAGATTCATAAAACGCAGCATCACACTTTCTCCTGCTTTTTCCGATCAACCTTTCTTAATTTCTTCGAACAATATCGCTGTATGTTGACACTTTCTTCGAATGACACAGCTGTGTTTCAACACTTTCTCCTGACAACCTCTCTGTATTTCAACGCTTTTTCCTGACAACCTCTCTGTATTTCCACACTTTCTCCTGACAACCTCTCTGTGTTTCAACACTTTCTCCTGACAACCTCTCTGTTGTTCAACACTTTCTCCTGACAACCTCTCTGTGTTTCAACACTTTCTCCTAACAACCTCTCTGTTGTTCAACACTTTCTCCTGACAACCTCTCTGTTGTTCAACACTTTCTCCTGACAACCTCTCTGTATTTCCACACTTTTTCCTGACAACCTCTCTGTATATCAGCACTTTCTCCTGACAACCTCCCTTTATTTCAACACTTTCTCCTGACAACCTCTCTGTTGTTCAACACTTTCTCCTGACAACCTCCCTGTATTTCAACACTTTTTCCTGACAACCTCTCTGTTGTTCAACACTTTCTCCTGACAACCTCTCTGTATTTCAGCACTTTTTCCTGACAACCTCTCTGTATATCAGCACTTTCTCCTGACAACCTCCCTTTATTTCAACACTTTCTCCTGACAACCTCTCTGTTGTTCAACACTTTCTCCTGACAACCTCCCTGTATTTCAACACTTTTTCCTGACAACCTCTCTGTATTTCAGCACTTTTTCCTGACAACCTCTCTGTATTTCAACACTTTTTTCCTGACAACCTCTCTGTATTTCCACACTTTCTCCTGACAACCTCTCTGTGTTTCAACACTTTCTCCTGACAACCTCTCTGTGCTTCAACACTTTCTCCTGACAACCTCTCTGTGTTTCAACACTTTCTCCTGACAACCTCTCTGTATTTCAACGCTTTTTCCAGACAAGCTCTCTGTATTTCAACGCTTTCTCCTGACAACCTCTCTCTATTTCAACGCTTATTCCTGACAACCTCTCTGTAGTTAAACACTTTCTCCTAATAACCTCTGTGTGTTTCGAAATGTTCTCGTTATACTCCTCGTTACACTTATGTCGACACATTTTCGTAACAACCCCTTTGCATCCTTACACTTTTTACATATCTATGTTTCAATATTCTCTTTATTAAAACATAACCTTAAATTTTCTCTACACTGACATTGTGTGTATCCCAACAATAACGCAAAACGTGGCTAAAGTTAATATTCAATATTGACTACAAATCGTTTTGAAAACTACCAATGTTAATTTATCTGTTTCCTAATGATATTTTCTAATCTCTATTCCAGGTGCTCTGCTATCACGTCGAGGTAGAATATTTTTCCGAATGGAAAATAATAACGGCTGCGCTATGTATGTTGTGGATATATGATCGATTCTGTTGATTGTTGATTCTGAGCATCATGTCATCCACGCCCAAAGCGGTGTACCATAGAGGGAATAGTCGCGTTCTTTTGTTTTGTGAAGTTCGACATATCCGAATCACTGTGGTTACGAAATGAAAGTTAATTCCAAATCGTTCTAGAAATATTACATTGGATGACCCATGCCAGTGACCCCCGCATCCTTCTTTCTTATGGAGCATTTGTCACATCTTCCCGTATCGTGTTTCAATGAGACTGGAGATATTTTATTGAATATTTGATACCCGGAAAATCGACTTGGAACCGACGGCGTTATTCGCATTTTTCAACATTTATAGACGTTGTGAAATACAAGACATGAGTAATTTTCATGATGACTCTCTACTCTCAGAGTTAACAGACAAGACGCAGTTCTGGTGGAATGCTATGGCGTCAGGGAACAAAGGATGACGTCATATGTTGCCTTGATAACTGAACCCCGACTTGTTAGCAAAATGTGGAGAAAAACACCTAAAAAAAAGTTCTTCCGGAGTAGAATATGTCTTCAGCAACCCATGCTTGCCGTAAAAGATTACTATGCTTGTCGTAAAAGGCGAATAACGGGATCGGGTGCTCAGACACGCTGACTTGGTTGATGCATGTCATCGATCCCAATTGCGTGGATCGATGCTCATGATGTCAATCACTAGATTGTCTGGTCCAGACTCGATTATTTACAGACCGCCGTCATATAGCTGGAATATTGCGGCGTTAAACAACAAACAAACAAAACAAACAAAACTTATAAATATTTAACAAACATATCGCCGAACTGATTAATAATATACTAGAGTAAGCCGTATGACACTGGTTTAAGAAAAGAGATTGAAAAATCGATAATTCACTAAATCAAACCTCACCCACTCACTCAAACCTCCCTCACTCCCTCCTGTTTTTTTAACACTAGGGAGCGGCACCTGGGACGCACTGCACTAGTTCCCACACCTGCGGCAGCTGTTGCAGGGACAGCAACGACAAGGTCATTTCAACAGACCAGGGCAATGGACCATTTGGTGAGACTTGGAAATACAAACTGACTGACTGAAACTGAAACATCGTCTCCGTGTATCTAGGATAATCATCACCTGATGCACATGATACAAAATAAGATTGTAACACAATATAACTGGTTTGGAATGATTTAATTCAAACTTGCTTGGTCGACCAATTGACCTCAGTCAACAACTAGCCTTTAAAACAACGTGAAACAAACCAGTAAGAAAAAACCCAATTCATAACACATGGTCCTCGAGTAGGTGGTAAAATGGGTTTTAACGTCGCGCGCGCGCGCGCGCGTGTGTGTGTGTGTGTGTGTGTGTGTGTGTGTGTGTGTGTGTGTGGCTGCTGGTACTAGTCCGGACTGATGCTGATTTATAGTGCTAACTCACTGAGATACCATGCCGCAGTTTAACATGAATGCCCCACTCAGACACAGTACACTGACTCCGAGCCGACCAGTCCTTGTTTTATGCCCTTAATACCGAGCGCCAGGCAAGGTAACAACAAGTACCATCCTTTACCGCCTTTGGGTATGACGCTGCAGGGGATCGAACCCCGGACCTTACGTTCTCCGGGCGGACAGAGGCGGTGCCGGTCCTTGAGTAGATATAATAGCAAACGCTATACAGTAGTGACAGAAAATAGTCATGTTTACATCGTAATAAAAAAACTCCGAAAGAAGTTTCAAAAAGCATTATACAAACAAATATCATCTACAATTTCCCCTTAATATTGAAAAACTCGCCCTGATGGTCGGCACTTTTCTCTGAGCAAAGGGGATCAGTACACATGCAGGAGGGATGAGAAGGATGGTGGCAGTTGATTCAGACACGCGGAGCTTACAAACAGTATTGAACTTTTGTCACATGCTTGAACGTCATGTATGGTGAGTCCCGTGAAGATCCGGGGTAGAATAGGTCTTCAGCAACCCATGCTTGCCGTAAAAGGCGATTATGCTTGTCGTAAGAGGCGACTAACGGGATCGGGTGGTCAGGCTCGCTGACTTGGTTGATGCATGTCCTCGATCCAAATTGCGTGGATCGATGCTCATGATGTCAATCACTGGATTGCCCGGTACAGACTCGATTATTTACTGACCGCCGTCATATGGGCTGGAATATTGTTCGGCGTTAAACTACCAACAAACAAACAATCATTGGGTGATATTAACATTTAGTTGTGTAGCTTGAGATTATTTAACTCAGCCCGTTAATAGTATTTAATTCAGTAAGGACTTCACTGACGGTATTTACTCTGCACTAATTCTGTTGTAAATAAGTGGTAATTAAGTGCCATTAAAATCAGAGTTTTTTCGATTTTCTATACTTTATTGTCAATAAATATTAATTAATTAAGTGCCCAGTTATATGTTAAATATGTACACACAGCAGAAATATTGTTTTATAGATGTGTAAAGTAGAACGATAGTTCACTGTGTCTGAAGATCTAGAAAAAATAACAAGGTCATCATGGGTAGCATCAACGACAACCAACGTCAGCCCCATAACATCACCTCTAACATCAGTACCATCACAACCACCACTACAATGTCCATCACAACCACTGTCTTCATCACTTTCATCCCCACCAGTGCTCAATGTCTCATCTCCTTGTCAATATCGTTGTCATTACCAGGCGGATTCGGTGGGTTTGGAACGCTTGGAGGTACGCGTAATGGCACGTGCAGCACCAAGAAATCTGTGAAGGGGGAGATATGTGACAGCTCGTGCCAGTGTGACACAGGTGAGTTGTGGAGGTCTAGGTGAGTTGTGGAAGTCCAGGTGAGGTGTGGAGGTCCAGGTGAGATGCGGATGCTGTGGTGAGGTGTGGAAGTTGATATGAGATTTGGAAGTCCAGGTGAATTGTAGAAGTTGTGGTGACATGAGGTGAGATGTGGAAGTTGATTTGAGATGTGGAAGTTGAGGTGAGTTGTGGAAGTAAAGGTGAGGTGTGGAAGTTGAGGTGAGTTGTGGTAGTTGAGGTGAGATGTGGTAGTTGAGGTGAGATGTGGAAGTTGTGGTGAGTTGTGGAAGTTGAAGTGGAAGTATCAAATAGTGATGATACCAGGTTTTTGCGGAAAGGTGAGCGTATCCTTGTCCCGCGGGTGGCACCCGACACAAACACATGTAAACAGAGTCAATTATTTACCTGAAAACAAAAACACACGGGAACCTTTGAGTACTAGGCAGAACAGGGAATTGCATCAGACATTAATGTTTTCACTGATGCGTCATATTTGGAAATGTCCTCTACGTGTCTACCGTGAAAGCTTTACTGGGGCCTTGAATGTTGTAACCTTGATCAAACAACAAGAATCGTATGAGGCTCTTTGAAATCTAGGTAGAAAGAGCATACTCGATTGTACCGCAAAGGTTTTGAAATGTATACACCAAAGGCTGGAGCTGCTGGAATATTGCTCGACATGAAGGGAAAGTTGACTGTTGGAAAGTTGAAGTCATCCCTCTTGTCATACAGTCTTGTGGAGAGTGTTTTGTCACTCTGAATCTTTATGCATACATCTAAATATGAAACAGATGAGGCAGTCTCACTGGTTTCCTTTATTTCCAGGGGGCGGAATTGGTTATTCGTTATTGAATGATATCAGATCATCGACGTACCTGAAGCTTAAGTTAAACTTATTGGAAAAAATTACATTGTTTTAATGCAGATATTCCGATTCATATGCATAAAGAAATAGATCAGCAGAAAGGTGTGCACAAAAGGTGCCCATAGGGATGACAACTTCTTACCTAAGTGTCTTACCTCCAAATTTTACGTAGATGTTATTAATGAGGAAGTCCAGCATTTCACATAATGTTTTCTCGGTAAACTTCAGATGGCATTTGCTGTCATTTCTTACAAGTTGTCCTGGTCCCCGGGTTTTGTAACAAAAGCCTCTTGGATCAAGGAATGAGGTTTTTCCTTAAGTTTGTCATGTGGGATAGTGGTGTACAAAATGGAACTTGTTTCTTTTCTGAGGTTGCAAAAAGACAAGCAAATCCTTTGAGTTTTGAGAGTCCACATGGTATTAATTCCAATTTGCTCAAATGCATTTTATGAATATAAAGAAAGTCCTTCCTTGCTTGTATTAAGGATGAGGGATAGCCTTTGAGACAGGGACTTGGTGGTACAATTGCTGAACCAAACTATATCTCTCTCCTTGTACGGAGTGTGTCTTCAGGTGTTAGAGTAAAGTGAAATGTTGATAGTACTGATGCATGGTTTGGGCAGATTTCTTCCTCAGTTAACATGCTGGCCTTATATGTGGTATTACGTGATATGTCATTTAAACCAAGTTCTTTGATCAAACAATTTATACATTGATGCTTGCATATAATGGTTGTGTTATTTGCGGCCTTGTCAGTGGGACCAGCTAGAAATTTTCATGTTAGGCAGTCATATTTTGGACAACTGGCTGGGACAGAATGGGTTTCCTCTGTTTAAGTTTGTGAATTTTACCAATGACAACATCACGCACGGACTTAACCCAGTCTGAAAGACATTCAGCAGGTTCCTCTTCTCTTGTGGCCCATTTTTTATATATTCTTTGACAGCATCCATACTGATTTTAAACTTGTGATCCCAATGGTAGGATGTCGCTCACGGTATTTTGGTCCATATTTGAATAACTGACGAAGGCTGTTATTGTCAACAATAGAGAAGTCCCCTGTGATTATAGGGCCTACAGGTTGGTAGCGGTATGATGAGTCCTGGCTGCCACAAGTAGTGGAATTAAAGTGATGACCTGCAAGGTCCACGTTCTGCAGCAGGTTCCTATAATTGAACATCCTGGATGAAATTGTGTTCGTTTTGAAAAATGAAATTGTTGGTGGCTCCTGAAATTTAAAATATTGGGGGACAATGTGGAATTTTTTGTGTGTCTGAGAATGTTACTTAATTTTAAGGCATCAATTCCCTTCTTTGCAAATTTCAAATTTAAGGACATACGGTCTTTGTCTTATTTAGTGGAGCTTGTTTCTGGTTTGGCCAAACGCTTAAAAAAGATATCAAGAACTATACTCCCCAGTCGATGCTGTGGGCTCTTACTTTTTGTAGACCCACCCTTCAGAAAAAGTTGCCGGAGTCGTTTATTTCCGTTCAATGACACAAAGTATAGTCTTGTCCTTACTTTGTGCAGTCCCAATGGTTACTGAAGGAGAGGCAACAAATCTTCCAAATGAATGATATCATTTGGCCTTCGTCCGTTCTTGTGACCATGGCTGCGTCGACGTCTTCGGGATGCCGAAAACAGACTCAATACATTGACGTTGGCTGTTCGTTGGTTAAACATACTGCCAACGTCATTTATTTGTCATATCATCCATATGGCATTGCTGTAATCAACAGTCGAATCAAATGGGCATATATTCCCCAATATCCTAACTCTCATGCAAAGGATTGAGTGATTTTCAGAATTGTAATGTTGGTAGACACAACCGGAAACATTTCTGTAGATGCCCGATCTATGCTGGCTGACTCGTGTCGATACTTTCTGTTATGTTATTTCAACATAAATCAATTCTCAAAGGGTACATTCAATTTCATATATGACGTTTTTAGTTTGACATGATAGTGCTTAAAGGTTTAATGCAGCATGTTCTAGCTGTAAAGTAGACTGCAAATAAAAACGAAATTAAGGACTTCATAAATACATTTCGATATAACAAGACACTTGATTGTGGACATTATACGAAATCAAGAACCTAGAGAATAAGGTTTAACTTTCTGATGGATTTTGAGAAAAGAAAAATAATTTGTTCTCAGGTATACACTCAAACAATAATAGTTCACTCGACATATTGGGCGTCCTGGAATGTGTTTGAGTAGAAAACACGGAAAACAATTGCATCACGTCGCGAACACCTCGTGTCATCCTATTTCATAGTGATTCATAAACGCATCCTTATGGTTTGGTCCGAATGGTACAATTGACTCTGGTTTTCCAATATATTTCTTATAATTATGTAAATGGTTTTGTTGCTATAATTTAAAGTAATGACTGAAAATTTCCAGTCTAAAAACACCGCAGCTCCACAACACCTTAGAATGTTGAATGGTGGTCCCTGAATTTGTTTATGTATTGCTTGCAGGCCTGTCCTGCTATCGGCCAATGACTGGAGCCTGTTGCCCACCGTCCACGTGTGTTGATGAGGCCTACGCCAAGAAACAACACGAATATTGGTCTAACTGTTTCGCCAGCCCGAACTGTGCTCTTCCAGCATAAACGATGCCTTCCTTACTGGGAATAAATATTACCTATGTATGACAATAAAAAAAGCACGCTTCAGGCACATTATTGTTTTAACAAAAAAACAGTCAATTTGTGAGGTTACATATATTTGTCAACTCTGTCACATATGTTGTAAAATACTATATCCTCCAGTGTTCAGTATGTGCTCGGATCTGAGCAGAGATTGTGGAGTTTCAAGGTTCAAAATGACATTCAATTAACAGACTCAGTGCTGGTCCTTATGCAGAGGGGCCTTGGGATGGCTTATCTTGAAGACATATAACGGAGATCATATTACCAAGCAAAAACCACTGTGTAACAAAGTAAAAAAGGAATAACAAGATTGCAATGGGTCAATGAGGAGACAGCAGCTGTAAATAACAGGCCCCCATAATAAATGTTCAGAATTTAGTCAGGATAACGGGTTGAATGTCTTGAAAGTGGCACGTACTACGTTCTTGAATCCGGAAACACTGTTGGAAGATTGTACTAGCAGGAAGTCGGTTAATTTAGGTAAGTACATGGTCCGCACATGGCAAGAAAATACGACCATGTAAGGTTGTAGAATGTCATAAATCTCACCTTATATAGGTCCAGCCAACATCTAGAACCGAACGACACGAAAGTTTTTTGTGTTTTTTTTAAGAATATAAATTCAATACTCACATTGAAGTTATGTTAGTATAAACTATTTTCTAATAAATTGCCCAATGTCATAATTATCTGAAAGACAGTTTTTAAAAAACCCATATATTTACATGAATTATGTTGCAATCTGATAACGACTCATTTCCTACAAATGGGGTTAGTCTCGCTACGCATATGCATTGTCGTTGGTCTAAGGATTAATCCCTGGCGTAGAAAAGTATTCTACATTACTGGTATATGTTTGTTTGCCACACTCAGCAATATTCAAGTCAATACTCGAGACTGGGCCAGATAATCCAGTGATCGACATCGTGAGAAAGTCAGCAGTTGGACATGTAGCTTGTTGAGTGTAATAATTATGCTCGTATCCTCTTTGATATGAATAGTGATGACAATCCTTTTCTTCAATGTGAACAGACTTTTTACCATCAAATATTCATCGCAATCGGTGGGATTATATTTTGCAGTCGGGAAGCTTCAATGCATAAATGGAACAGGCTTTTATTGCTTGGGTTAATTATCAGATGTTATTCTCGAGTTGTTATAGCGAGGGAAAGTGAATATTAAATGAATAAGTATCACGTGACCACCAGGAAAGGTATTTCAGTGACGTATATTAACAAAGTAGTTTCTAAGTATATCAGGCGTCCGTATAAAAGAATGCTGACTCACTCTCTCACTCAACCAAAAGTGAGTATAAGTATAGTACAGCTGGTCGTGGTGATGGGGCGGTGGTATGACGGGATACGGGTGGTCGTGGTGATGGGGCGGTGGTATGAGGGGATACGGGTGGTCGTGGTGATTGGGCGGTGGTATGACGGGATACGGGTGGTCGTGGTGATGGGGCGGTGGTATGACGGGATACGGCCAGTCGTGGTGATGGGGCGGTGGTATGACGGGATACGGCTGGTCGTGGTGATGGGGCGGTGGAATGACGGGATACGGGTGGTCGTGGTGATGGGGCGGTGGTATGACGGGATACGGGTGGTCGTGGTGATGGGGCGGTGGTATGACGGGATACGGCCAGTCGTGGTGATGGGGCGGTGGTATGACGGGATACGGCCAGTCGTGGTGATGGGGCGGTGGAATGACGGGATACGGGTGGTCGTGGTGATGGGGCGGTGGTATGACGGGATACGGCTGGTCGTGGTGATGGGGCGGTGGTATGACGGGATACGTCTGGTCGTGGTGATGGGGCGGTGGTATGACGGGATACGGGTGGTCGTGGTGATGGGGCGGTGGTATGACGGGATACGGGTGGTCGTGGTGATGGGGCGGAGGTATGACGGGATACGTCTGGTCGTGGTGATGGGGCGGTGGTATGACGGGGTACGTGTGGTCGTGGTGATGGGGCGGTGGTATGACGGGGTACGTGTGGTCGTTGTGATGGGGCGGTGGTATGAGCGGGGGTTCGGCTGGTCGTGGTGATGGGGCGGTGGTATGAGCGGGGGTACGGGTGGTCGTGGTGATGGGGCGGTGGTATGACGGGTTACGTGTGGTCGAGGTAATGGGGCGGTGGTATGAGCGGGGTACGGCTGGTCGTGGTGATGGGGCGGTGGTATGATGGGGTACGGGTGGTCGTGGTGATGGGGCGGTGGTATGACGGGGTACGGCTGGTCGTGGTGATGGGTCGGTGGTATAAGGGGATACGGCTTGTCGTGGTGATGGGGCGGTGGTATGAGGGGATACGGCTTGTCGTGGTGATTGGGCGGTGGTATGACGGGGTACGGGTGGTCGTGGTGATGGGGCGGTGGTATGACGGGGTACGGCTGGTCGTGGTGATGGGGCGGTGGTATAAGGGGATACGGCTTGTCGTGGTGATGGGGCGGTGGTATGAGGGGATACGGCTTGTCGTGGTGATTGTGCGGTGGTATGACGGGGTACGGGTGGTCGTGGTGATGGGGCGGTGGTATGAGCGGAGGCTCGGATGGTCGTGGTGATGGGGCGGTGGTATGAGCGGGGGTACATGTGGTCGTGGTGATGGGGCGGTGGTATGACGGAGTACGGGTGGTCGTGGTGATGGGGCGGTGGTATGAGCGGAGGCTCGGAAGGTCGCGGTGATGGGGCGGTGGTATGACGGGGTACGGGTGGTCGTGGTGACCGGGCGGTGGTATGAGCGGAGGTTCGGATGGTCGTGGTGATGGTGCGGTGGTATGAGGGGATACGGCTGGTCGTGGTGATGGGGCGGTGGTATGACGGGGTACGGGTGGTCGTGGTGATGGGGCAGTGGTATGATTGGGGTACGGCTGGTCGTGGTGATGGGGCGGTGGTATGACGGGGTACGTGTTGTCGAGGTGATAGGGCGGTGGTATGAGCGGGTACGGCTGGTCGTGGTGATGGGGCGGTGGTATGACGGGGTACGGCTGGTCGTGGTGATGGGGCGGTGGTATGAGCGGAGGCTCGGATGGTCGTGGTGATGGGGCGGTGGTATGAGGGGATACGGCTGGTCGTGGTGATGGGGCGGTGGTATGAGCGGGGGTACATGTGGTCGTGGTGATGGGGCGGTGGTATGACGGGATACGGGTGGTCGTGGTGATGGGGCGGTGGTATGAGCGGAGGTTCGGATGGCCGTGGTGATGGGGCGGTGGTATGACGGGGTACGGGTGGTCGTGGTGATTGGGCGGTGGTATGAGCGGAGGTTCGGCTGGTCGTGGTGATGGGGTGGTGGTATGAGTGGGGTAGGGGTGAATGAGGTGATGGGACGGTGGTATGAGAGGGGTAGGGGTGCGTGTGGTGTTGGCGCGGTGGTATGAGCAGGGTAGGGGTAAATGTGGTTATGGGGCGGTGGTATGAGCGGGGTAGGGGTGAATGTGTTGTTGGGGCGGTGGTATGAGAGGGGTAGGGGTAAATGTGGTGATGGGGCGGTGGTATGAGAGGGGTAGGGGTAAATGTGGTGATGGGGCGGTGGTATGAGAGGGGTAGGGGTAAATGTGGTGTTGGGTCGGTGGTATGAGCAGGGTAGGGGTAAATGTGGTGATGGGGCGGTGGTATGAGCGGGGTAGGGGTGAATGTGGTGATGGGGCGGTGGTATGAGCAGGGTAGGGGTAAATGTGGTGATGGGGCGGTGGTATGAGCAGGGTAGGGGTAAATGTGGTGATGGGGCGGTGGTATGAGCAGGGTAGGGGTAAATGTGGTGATGGGGCGGTGGTATGAGCGGGGTAGGGGTGAATGTGGTGATGGGGCGGTGGTATGAGTGGGGTAGGGTTGAAAGTGTTTATGGGGCAGTGGTCTGAGAGGGGTAGGGGTGAATATGGTGATGGTGGCGGTGGTATTAGTAGGGGTAGGGGTGAATGCAGTCATGGGGCAGTGGTATGAGCGGGGTAGGGTGAATGTGGTGATGGGGTGGTGGTATGAGAGGGGTAGGGGTGAATGTGGTGATGGGGCGGTGGTATGAGTGGGGTAGGGTGAATGTGGTGATGGGGCGGTGGTATGAGTGGGGTAGGGTGAATGTGGTGATGAGGCGGTGGTATGAGTGGGGTAGGGGTGAATGTTGTGATGGGCTGGTGGTATGAGTGGGGTAGGTAGAATGTGGTGATGGGGCGGTGATATGAGCGGGGTAGGGGTGAATGTGGTGATGGGGCGATGGTATGAGAGGGGTAGGGGTGAATGTGGTTGTTGGGCGGTGGTCTGAGAGGGGTAGGGGTGAATGTGGTGATGGGGCGGTGGTATGAGCGGGGTAGGGGGGAATGTGGTGATGGGGCGGTGGTATGAATGGGGTAGGGTGAATGTGGTGATGGGGCGGTGGTATGAGAGGGGTAGGGGTGAATGTGGTGATGGGTCGGTGGTATTAGTAGGGGTAGGGGGGAATGTGGTGATGGGGTGGTGGTATGAGTGGGGTAGGGTGAATGTGGTGATGGGGCGGTGGTATGAGATGGGTAGGGGTGAATTTGGTGATGGGGCGGTGGTATTAGTAGAGGTAGGGATGAATGTGGTGAAGGGGCGATGGTATGAGCGGGGTAGGGGTGAATGTGGTGATGGGGCGGTGGTATGGGCGGGGTAGGGGTGAATGTGGTGATTGGGCGGTGGTATGAGCGGAGGTTTGGGGCGCTTGTGGAGTGATCACACTTGTGTGAAGGGTTGGGTGTGGGGGTGGTTGGCGAAAGCGTGTTGGGTTGTAGTGGATTGGTGATGGGGTGTTTGTCGTGGTGGAGTAGTTCTGGAAAAGAGCGCGGCTGTTAAATAAGGCTGATTAACAGTGTTTCACCAGATAATCACCCAAATATATATTTAAACAAATCAAATCAGTTTAAAATATATCACCACTAACCTAATTTTGACATCAACACGAATTCCCCCGCTTATGTGCTAATAAAGCAAAGTTAAACATCATTGTTAAAGCACTAGTTTCCTGAATGTAAACAAACGCACGTGTACATTTTAATCTATCAATCAACATGGCCCTACACGTAACAACATCTTCTGATTGGCTTGCGTAGTTTTGACGCATGGCGACCTTCGAGAGGGCGGCGAGCCTTGTTGTAGATTACGGAAATATGCGAGTGGTGACGAATACCCAGCTGAATGACGGAGTAACCATATTTTCTACCAATCTGGGGAATCGAACCCGGACTTCCGCGCGATGAACAGACGTATTACTCACAATGACGGAATAAGTCAAACAAACAAACTACAGTTAATAATAACATTAAAATACAGATGGTAGAAATCTTGTAGATTCTGTTAAGGTCAAGGTAACATGAGAAGCGAAACAAGTAATTTCTTCTCTCGTTGCAAGGTCTGGGTAACGTTTCGGTACAAAAGTGAAGTCCAATATATATATATATATATATGTAGGTTTCAACGGTGTCCCGTTCTACTTACGTATTTACTAAATAGCTTTCTTTCTTATATGATATATTAACATAATGTACAGTCTCTTTAAGGCTGATGATATAATATGTACAAGCCCAAATTTTAATAACATTTGATGACCCCGCTGAATAGAATCAAACCTCGTAAATGTCGGACAAGTCCATTTTACAAACAGGTAGGTTAAGTTTGATTTTTCCCGCAATCACCACGTCGATTACCTACCTTTTCTCTGAATACTGATTGTCATATCTCTCCATTTTTGGATACGATCGTTCGGGCACTGAGTTTATCTGCTTAGCCCACCTACATCTTTGGGGTACAACTTACAAGACACTTCCATCTAAAAAATAACATCATCCAATATATGACGTCATCGAGTTGCGACCGCATATTCGAATCAGAAATGACGTCATGACAGAACCACGTTTCGTCGTGAAATAAATCACGCCCCGTTCTTCATTTTTCTTGGCGATTATTGAATACATTGTATATTATGTATATTCCGGGATCTAGGTGGCCCAGTCGTAGAAGGTGCCGCAATGCTCCGTGTAGAGTTGCTTCCCTTAGGCGTTCCAGAATCCTATGATTGTGAGTTTGAATCCAAGATTCGCCCTGATTATGCTTCTAGATTTGTCACCTTGTGGGTTTCACCAAGTGGTAAAGGTCTAAGACAACAGCACTTCAGGCTTTCCTCCCACATCAAGCTGATCAAGAAAGACACAACTGATAAATGGGGACAAACAATTTCAGAACACCAACATGCCCAGTGAACGATTTTTTTGCAAACCTGAATAAATATATTTTTTCCAGGTTTTCCCCTTAAAACCAAATAATCAATGTCTCCTTAAACAGAGACACTCCCTATATTTATGTAGGTATTAAAAGAAATTAAAAGAAATTAATAGAAAACAAACATTTGCAAAGTGGTTCTTGAACGACTAATAAGTCTTGATGTCAATACTAATTATAACGGTCTAGTGTTGCTATAGATTCAAACCAATGATCAATAGTCATGATGTTGTGGATACACAAGGTAATCGTTATGTTCTGTTGTCTTAAACGGGGCGTTAGCTAACTGAAGTGTTTGTTAAACACCCCAAGGATGGAACTACTTCTTTCTAATCAACGACAAAATATTCTGACAAATAACGTGTCACAACAGTCAACACTGAAGACTAACTTATGTAATCTTCTGCAACGACGACATGGAAAAAAGGTGGAATAAACGATTTAATATTTACTGGCCATCAACATTTGCAAGTGACATTAATGTGTTGATTGTTGCAGTTGCTCAAATATTTTCCCAGGGACATTTCATAACCCGAGTCATGAGTGCAGTGCACACGCCTCACTCAGGGATGTATTTCAAGTGCATGAGTGAATGAGTGAGTTGGGTTTAATGCCGCTTTTAACAGTATTCCAGTTATATCAGCGTGTCAGCTTAATGTGGGAGGAAAGCCCAAAGTGATGCAGGTCTCAGACGTTTACCACTTCAGTGAAAGCCACGAGCACAGGTATGGTGCTGACAAACCTAGAAACATAATCGTTGCGAACCGGGATTCGAACCTACAATCATAGGTTTCTGGCGTGCCCAAGGGACGCAACTCTGCACACCGTATCGCGGCGCCTTAGACGACTGGGCCACCTGTGCCCCCTCAAGTGCATGACGTGCAAACAACTCACAATGTATTCTCAAACCTAAGTAGAAAATTCTTTAATATTATGCAATTATGGTTATCAAAACAATGTTGTTTTACATAATACCTGTAATAATATTAGTAATTACTCTAAACTTGAGTAACGTACACGCTTATCACTACTCGTCACCCTTTTCAGAAGGTTCTAAGATTGTCATATTTGAGCTTTTTGCTCGTGTGTAATTATGCGAACCAAAGGAGAACCGTTTTCAATGCCTTCTTGTCGTCATGGTAGAATGGCGAACACCTGCTGTGTTTTGAAATTTGAAGTAGTATAACTATAGATTTGGTTCCTCTCATTTATACATAAAAGCGACAAAACCTGTCCACATTCACAAGAAATCTCGATTCTTCGATCCCAGCTAAATCATGATCATGTGTTAATCATCAATCAGTATCAAATAATGACGCTACCTGGTGGTCGCGAAAAGGTTGGCGTATCCTGTCCCATCAGTGGACCCGTCACAAACTCACGCAAAGGCAAGTCAACTGTTCATTTGAAAAAAAAAAAAGGGGAATATTTGGTACAAAAAGTCAAAATAGGGAATTGCTTCGGACACAATTTTTGTCACTGATGCGGCAAATTTGGAAATGTCCTCCAGATGTCCACCATAAAATAAAAATATTATTCAGAACATCTACCACCATCAGCTCTGATTATAATAAATGATTAAATAATTAAACTAACCACCCACCCCATCGCTGCCGGATCCCGGATTCTAGATCCTTCCACCCGTATTGTTCACAGACAATAACCAATTCGCCAGTGTCTCCAAATAAACCAATATTGGTTTGATTAAATATCTTTTATCAATGCATTACCGTCATCACCCAACAAGGCGATGTCCTTTTACTGGATCAAGTGGCGGTCACTGCATTGTCGGCAAACACTTCCATCGATGTGTACGACCTCCTGATCATTACGTTAAACATGGTGATAGTGAAAATCATTAACCTCACGTGAGCCATCTGCGGGGAGTTGATTTTAGGACGTGTTTAGTTCTATTGGTCTATTGAGATGCATACATGTCAATTTACGTCCCATCTTCCGTTGGCTAACATAATCTCTTCTTAATGCGCATGCGCATGGTTATGACTAGTGAAGAGCGAAAGTGCTGTTGGCGGGTTTGGACGCCTGATGACGTTCGGTCATAGAGTTGACAACATCCCGCGTGATTCTGTTCCAGTGTATCGTCGTCATCTGTAACGTCATCAACTCCAGACGTCGGTATTGGAATCTGTCACGGATCAGTGATCCAATATAATCAGGGGTGTCAGAACGAGTAATAATGAAAACGTGGTAATAGGTTCACATGTTTATTACTAACAGCTAATTGTATCAATAGATGACACTATAAAGGTTCAAATAAACCCAATCTGCACTGACAAAGATGACTGATTAGTTAAATTAGAGCATTACTGTGAAAGAAGGGACACGGGTGGCCCAGTCGTCTAAGGCGCCGCGATTCGCTGTGCAGAGTTGCGCCCCTTGGACCTTGGGAGGTCAATCTCTCCTTGACAGCCGGGGAATACAATAGTCTTGGGCGCTTAGCCAAGATGTGTTTCTTAACATGGGAAAAACACGAATAGCAAACTAACTACTATATCCAAACGGAAGATCTTCAAAATAGTCGATTTGCAATGTCTTAAACGGCATTGTTTTCGCACTTGTTCAAACATGTCATGGAGGAAAACAGTAAAGCAAAATGCGCCTGCAAGTTATGGCATTCGTAACTCGTTGTAGAGGCTATAAAAAGGTAAGCATTAGCCAATAATTTGTCATTCAATTGTCAACATTTTTCAAGTTCGAAAATGTAGAGACATCGCCACAGGACGTATCCAAAGAGGGGAATCGCAGTCTTCTGTTGCATGCCACTTCAACATCCAACACAGCACCATTTGCCGCCTTTGAGACCGATACACACAGTTCAATTCCATTGCAGACCGCCCGAGAAACGGCCGACAAAGAGTTACCACCCTGCAAAGGATCGCTGCATTCGACTGTTCCACCAACGTCATCGCAATGCCGCTACGGAGACTGCAGGACGCATCCTTGGTTTCAGGAGGATATCGGACCAGACTGTCAGGAACCATCGTCGTAGAAATGAGCGTTTTTCCCCACATTGTGTAGGTGAATTCGACAATTTCGGTGCCGGTAGTGTCATGGTGTGGGGGGGCATATCCTACACCACGAGATCTGACTTGGTTGTGGTTCAGGGAAATTGGACAACAAATCGCTACATGAATCAAATTCTTCAACTTACCTTCTTCCAATCATTGAACGCCAGAGGGAGCTGTTTCAACAGGACAACGCTCCAATGCACACAGCTCGTGTCACGGTAGACTACCTGCATAATGCCAACTTTGACGTTTTGCCCTGGCCGTCGAGATCTCCAGATCTCAAACCCAATCGAACACCTCTGGGATGAACTCGATCGACGTGTCTGTCAACGTCAGAACACGCAACAGACACTCACACAACTGGCAAACGCGTTACAAGCAGAATGGCGCAGAATTCCACAGGACAGAATTCGTACACTTATCCAGTGATTGCCTAGGAGATGTAGAGCCGTGATTGCTGCCCGGGGCGGTCACACGAGATACTGGGTTCAGCGCAACCTTGTGGCCTTATGTGACATGACAATAAACAGTTTTCAATGCCTGTGTACAACGACAACATGTGACTATTGAGCTCCAAAATTTCATATTTGTATCTATGATATTAAATTGAATATATCGACTTAATTTGGTGCAATACATTTACTTAAAATCTACCTGTGCGTTTCCTTTTTTGAAGAGTGTACTACAAAGTACAACAACCTTATCCAACAACCAGCACAGAACCAAGCACCTTGTTCTGATCAAGATAACGGCGTTATGGGTACTATCACAATCAGAAGTTACACCTGTCAGGTGTGGTGTGAAGAATCACCTGTTTGTCACTACCCAGCACTGTAAACATGAAGACAGTTGTGGCTCTCTGTGTTGTGTTGGTGAGTATGTCTGTCCTTATTGTGTTTGTTTGTTTGTTGTTTAACGCCGCTCTCAGCAACATTCCAGCTATTTGACGGCGATCTGTAAATAATCGAGTCTGGACTAGACATCCGCTGTGGTACTTTCGACATATTCCCCTGACAACCTCTCGACACTTTCTCCTAACCTCTCTGTATGTCGACACTTTCTCCTAACAACCTCTTTGTAAGTCGACACTTTCTCCTGACAACCTCTCTGTATGTCAACACTTTATCCTGACAACCTCTCTCTATGTCAACACTTTCTCCTAACAACCTCTCTCTATGTCGACACTTTATCCTAACAACCTCTCTGTATGCCAACACTTTCTCCTAACAACCTCTCTGTATGTCGACACTTTCTCCTTACAACCTTTCTGTCTGTCGATACTTTCTCCTAACAACCTCTCTGTGTTTCGAATATATCTCTAAACATTTTTCTCGGTAATTTCGTCTTTGCGGAAGAACCGCACAGGTTTTGTGGAAGTACGTTTCCGGAACTGTACCGCGAGAAACGAGTAAGTAATAAGGCGCAATAGTATACAACATGTTCCAATCATTTTTCTAATATTATATTAATATCTATATTTCAGGTGCTCCTCTATCACGTCGAGGTAGAGTATTACTTTTATGACGTCAATCCCCGGCAAATATACTGCCTTGTAAAAGAAAGTGTACACTTGAAAATTGGATTTGACCAAATAATTACACACGTTATCAAAACGTTACAGGGCCGAAAACATTCGCCGAAATACCGCCACTTTAAGGGTCAAAACACAAGGATGATACCCGTATCAAATACATCACCATCGAATAACCAATTATTGTTTGTTTTATTTAGCCATCATCAAACTTGGGTGTATACTTCCTTTTCGCCGGAAGTTTGTGAGTATGGTTTTACGCCGCTTTTAGCAATATTCCAGCTATATCACGGCGGGGGACACCAGAAATAGGCCTCCTACATTGTACCCATCTGGGGAATCGAACCTAGACTTTCGACGTGGCGAGCGAATGGTTTAACCACTAGGCTACCCAACCGTCCCCGGCAGTTAGAACAAAAAGCGTTCATCCTTTAACAATGTCTTAACAATCTATACTAATCCTGTCTTATGGCATGTGTTGTCTAAAATATTCCAATCAACTGGTCGCTGATTTGGTTTGTTTTGTTTGTTGTTTAACGCCGCACTCAGCAATATTCCAGCTATTCCGGTGTGTAAATAATCGAGTCTGGACCAAACAATGCAGTGATTGATATCATGAGCATCGATCCACGTAATGCATCAACCAAGTAAACGAGCCTGACCTCCCGATCCCGTTAGTCGCCTTTTACGACAAGCATAGTCACCTCCTAAGGCAAGGATGGGTTGCTGAAGACCTATTCGTTGAAGATGACAAATGAATAATGGAGAAGTTATCAGAATAATGGTAATTTTCAATCACTCACTCACTCACTCCTGTTTTGTTTAACGCTAGGGAGCGGCACCTGGGACGCACTGCACTAGTTCCCACACCTGTGGCAGCTGTTGCAGGGACAGCAACGACAAGGTCATTTCAACAGACCAGGGCAATGGACCATTTGGTGAGACTTGGAAATACAAACTAAAAATGGAAACAATACATACTAAACCTGAAAGAAGGAGGGTCTCCTCGGCCCGGTGGCCACTTCGAGTCATAATTTGGGCGTCATAATTTAAAGAATTCTGTGACACTGACCACCTCTGTCATCAGAGTAATCATATCTCATACCTGCTTTACATCGGCAGCATCCACGACAACCAACTTCACCTTCATAACATCACCTCTAACATCAGTACCATCACAACCACCACTACAATGTCCATCACACTGTCTTCATCACTTTCATCCCCACCAGTGGTCAATGTCTCATCTCCATGTCAATATCGTTGTCATTACCAGGCGGATTCGGTGGGTTTGGAACCCTTGGAGGTACGCGTAATGGCACGTGCAGCACCAAGAAATCTGTGAAGGGGGAAATATGTGACAGCTCGTGCCAGTGTGACACAGGTGAGTTGTGGAGGTCCAGGTGAGATGTGGAAGTTTAGGTGAGTTTAGGTGAGGTGTGGAAGTTGAGGTGAGTTGTGGAAGTTGAGGTGAGATGTGGAAGTTATGATGAGTTATTGAAGTTCAGTTCAGTTTAAGAATTGCGAATGAATCAGGTGAATTGAGGAAGTTTAGTTGAGACACCTGCAGAAAAAACTGTTACTTAAATAATCCCCAAGCTGGATGAACAAGTGAATGCATTGTTTCTGTATTCATGAATAAAACTATCACGTTCAGCTGAATGTAACCTGACAGCCAAAGTATATAAACAACAAACAAAGGGGATTTGCAATTGTTGAAGAAAATATTTTTTTTATAGTTTGAATGATTAATCCAGCCATTGTTACCTTTCTTTATGCAACTAAATATGTTATGGTTGGGTCTGTAGTCATCGCCTTGAAACGTGATGAAACGCGGTTCCTTAACACGACACGACTGGCGTTGAGTTTCGATGCATCATATTGCGTATAATGTATCGACCCAGGAACTTTGAGACGCTTTGAGGGGGTCTTTGATGGGTTTTAATGACTACCGTGCAACAACCCAGAAACAGAAACGTTAAACGTAAAACGATGACTAAAACACAGCTTCGCATTTAATAAGAATGTATTCCCGATCGTAAAAATATAAAAACAGGTGTGTTCCTTTTCCCACCAGATTCATACACTGCAATGTTACTGATAGCTTTGAGGTGCTGGGTCAAGGTTTGTTTGTTTTTTGTTTGTTGTTTAACGCCGCACACAGCAATATTCCATTTATATGACGGTGGTGTGTAAATGATCGAGTCTGAAACAGACAATCCAGTGATTGATATCATAAGCATCAACACACGCAATTGGGGTACAATGACATGCATCAACCAAGCCTTACCACCCGATCCCGTTAGTCGCCTCTTACGACAAGCATAGTCGCCTTTTACGGCAAGCATGGGTTGCTGAAGACCAATTCTTCTAATTCTTCTAACACGGGTATCGGTCAAGGTGTACGATTTGAAAAACATTAAAACTAACGTAAGGAGAATAAATAATAATCGTTTCAGTGTTCAGAATGTTTACTATCTAAAGAGTGAGTGAGTTGAGTTTAATACCGCTTTTAATAGTATTCAGTTATATCACGGCGTGTCAACTTAATGTTGGAATAAGGCCTAAAATCCACCACGCCAATTCAAATAAGTAAGATCGTACTGCCCAATGACTTGGTCGGGTAGCCTTGTGGCTAAAGCGTTCGCTCGTCACCCTGAGTTTCCACATGGATAAAATATGTGAAGCCCATTTCTCACGTCCCCCATCGTGATAATGTTGGAATATTGCAAACCGCGTCGTAAAACCTTCCTCAATCACTCGCCCCATCGATCATGAATTTTTAAAACTAATCTACATTGCCTTCACATATCAATATCCTACTACACACAATGATTTATTCTGTATTGCTTGCAGGCCTGGCTTGTTATCGGCCAATGTCCGGCGTCTGTTGCCCACCGTCCACGTGTGTCGATGAGGCCTACGCCAAACATCAACACGAATATTGGGCTAACTGTTTCGCCAACCCGAACTGTGCTTTTCCTAAATAAACGGTAACTTCTTATAAGTTGTGAGATTTGTTTTGTAAAATTAATCACTAATTTGGGTCGATAATACACTACAGTGTATGTGTTACAGGATGCATGTAATAGAATCATCTGCCGAACTGTTTGGCGATTGAGGGGAAGATAGGGTTGGCTGCGGTGGTGGAACGGTAATAAGGGTGTTGATGTGTTGGACCGCAGCATTCGTGGCCAACTCGTGTTATTCCGGGACAAGCCGAATAGCGACTCGTGCCCCTCTCGTGGCCATTTTTGCGACCGGGTTCCGTCTTAGCGCAAACGGGCATACCTAAAACAATTGTCAATTCGTTGCGTAATGGTTCACATATATTTCCCCATATATCATATATATTTCAGATGCAATTTAAAGCACATCGGGACTTGCGGAATAATACAGTATGATTGAACACATTTAACTGTCTTGGGTATATTTTTAGATGCAAGACATATGTAAAATCAAAAATTATTTCTGAGGGATTCTTTGAAGAAGTACTTGAAATCATACACGCATTCTGATTGGTTTGTCGTATTTTCGCACATAACATTCATCGATAGGGGGTCGAGTCTTCTTGCAGGTTACGGAAAGGGGCGAGTGGTGACGAATGTGACCGTAGGTGAAACTAAGGGGAAGTAATTCTCGAAAGTTACGGAAAAACATAAATTGCTATTCAGTAGCAGCTTAAATTAAAACGAAAAATGATTTCACTTATTGTCAACAGTAGAGGTAGGGGTGAATGTGGTGATGGAGCGGTGGTATGAGTGGGGGTAGGGGTTGGTGTAGTCGTGGTGGTGGAGTGATGGTAGTCGTAGGGGTGGCTGTGGTGGTGGTACAGGGTGGGGTGGTTGTTGTGGTGTGATTTTGGAAGGGGTGCGGGAGGATTGGGAGTGTGTTTTTTTTGTCGTGGTGGGATGGTTGTGGATGTGGGCGCTGTTGTTAAATAAAGGCTGATCATCAGTGTTTGAAATTTGCACAATGTCTTTACCTTCTTAAATGATGTCTTCAGCTTATGCGTGGGCGGCCAGTCAATGACTATATGGTTGTTGTGTCACCACATCGTCACATGGGTTTACAGTGGTTTGTTTGGCTGCCAGAAGGTCGGTTGTTCAATTTCCTGGCCGCGTCATACCAAAACACGTTAAACGATGGTACTTGTTGTTACCCTGCCTGGGGATCGGCATGAAGGGGATAGAACTAGGAGAGGCCGACACACACACATACACACACACGCGCGCAGGCACGCACACGCGTGCAATCATACTGAAAGTAACGTTTCACGGAATTTCATCATAACTTTAATCGAAGATAAGTGAGGGGGGTTTCACGCCCCTTAATGATATTTATAAGCCGTATGACTGTAGAGTAACCATTCTTTGTACCCATCTTGGGAATCGAACCCGGACTTCGGCTTGATGAACAGACGCATTACCAACAATGACGAAATAATTCAAACAAATACTGTACAAATACAGAAATTAAAAAACATTAAAATAAAGTTTGGAGAATTCTTGTTGATTCTGTTTAGGTCAAGGTCACATGAAAAGCTCAACAGGTCACGTGTTCTCTCGATACAAAATCCAGGTTCAATCCCTATAAGATACAAAGTCAAATATATATGTAACATTCCATACAGTGTCCAATTCTACATACGTATTTGCAAAATTAGCCCTAGATATTCATACATTGTCTACTGTGTTCATTCCGGAGTCACTTGTGGCCCAGTTACCTAAAGCGCTGTGTAGAGTTGCGTCCCTTGGGCGTGCCAGAAATCAGAGATCGCGAGTTCGAATCCCAGATTCGCCCTGAATATGTTTCTAGGTTTGTCACCTTGTAGGTTTCATAAAAGCGGTAAACGTCTACGACCTGTCTCACTTCGGGCTTTCAACCCACATCAGGCTGTTCAGGCGGAGTTTCAAGATATACAGACTTTTCTCTGATCTGTGAGGATAAATAATTTCAGAACACAACAAGCCCAGTGAACGATATTCATATTTTATAACCTGAAAACAAAATATCTTTTTCTAGCCTTTCCCCCTGATATTAAAAAGATCAATTTCTCCTGAAGCAGAGACATTCTCAATATGAAAATAAATATTAAAAGAAATAGATATAAAACCATTGCAAAGTGGTTCTTGAACGACTAGTGAGTGAGTTGTGTTTAACGCGGCTTTTAACAGTATTCCAGACTGGGTTATATCACGGCGTGTCAGCTTAATGTGGGAGGAAAGCCCGAAGTGATGCAGGTCTCACACTTCGGTGAAACCCACGAGCCCGGGTGCTGACAAACTTAGAAACATAATTGGGGCGAACCGGGATTCGAACCCACAATCATAGGTTTCTGGCGTGCCCAAGGGACGCAACTCAGCACAGCGGATCGCGGCGCCTTAGACGACTGGGCCACCCGTGTCCCCTACCAGAAATAAAATTCTATCTACTGCCACATAGTAGGTTAACCTCCAGGACGGAGGAGATTATTGTCTTGAATCTACCCGATTCCTTCCTTGATTGCCCTGATAATTCCTTCTACACGTATTCAGCTCTAGCGACAGTGTTACAGCTGCGTGCCTGTTAGTCCTCAACAGCCGTCAAAGGCATGGGTAATCTAAACGAGGAGAGGCTAAGTGGAATTTTATATATATCAAACATATTTATCTCCTGCAAATAAACTGGAACAAAGGGACAGAAACAGTTATTCTTTTAATGAAGAGAATTTATGGATGATACCTTCTTTATTACGAGGAACACAACGTTTCGTAGTACATGCTTACTCCTTCATCAGGTGAATGAATGCAGTGAGGCAGAGAGCAGATATATGTACATGTAAGAACAACAAAAGTAATAAGATAACAAAAGGTGGAAACTTAACAATGGAAGCAAACAGATTATTGCCGCTGATGGGTGATTAGCAATAGACAATGGAAGCCAACACTTTACAATAATTTGCACTGATAGTTATGGACAACTGGAAGCCAGGACTAAATTATCACTGATAACTGACAATGGACAATGGGCAAACGGGAGGCTGGGGGTAATTAGCACTGATAGGTAAAAGAATAGAAACATCAATGGGCAAATGGAAGCCAGCTAGATAATAGGCAGACACAATTTATGGGTAACAACTTTTTTAATACTGTAAAGGCAACGTTTCGGTATAGATCCTTATACCGTTGTCAAGGAAGACTGAATGAGGGACTTAGTACATACTATATATAGTAGGTGGAGGATTAACAGTAACAACAATTGCATACATAAGTAATTAAAGAAGTTGTTATCCATAAATTGTATCTACTTAGTCATCCGTTAACTTCTAAGTAATGCCCATCAAACAATTTAGATACTGACGAAGATCAGTGCAATAAGTCCCAAGCACGAGGCAGATAGGTTCCCTGGTCACGGTTCATGGCTGGCTGGTGTCTCCTGATGTCAAAGGCTTCTTGCAGTTTTCTTCGTCGCCAGTTGTTGTTGTTGTTGGACAGGACTTTGGTGACTTCCCACATGATGTTATGGTCTTGGTTCTTGATTATATGTTCCGAAATAGCGGATTTCAGGTCGAGTTTGTTTACAGAGGTCTGGTGTTCTTTGAGTCTAGTGTTGAGGGGTCTGATGGTTTCTCCAATGTATTGGTGGCCACAGTTGCAGGAGATCTGGTATACACATCCTCTGGTCTTGGGACTTAAACTGCTTGTGCCTCTGCCATTGGCTTGTAGATGGGTCTTGATGGACTTGCCGCTAGAGAAGGTTTTCATATTGAGAATGTCTCTGCTTCAGGAGAAATTGATCTTTTTAATATGTTGGCTTTGTTCTTGATGAGGCGGGAAATCTGATGAGTGACAGGGCATTGGTAGGGTATGGTGATTCTGATGGGCAGGTTTAGTTCTTGAGGGCCTTGCATATGGTTTTGGAGACCAAGTGGGCAGGGTAACTGTTGAAGGACGTGAAGGTTTTCTTGCAATGGTGAAGTTCACTGTTGAGGTCATCAGGGTGGCAAATGGATTTAGCACACCGGGTGAGGGTGGCGATGATGGTTATTCTTTTTGATATAAATATGTAATGATGTATTTGACAGAATGAAAATGATTACTAAACGTCGCCACTGTCTCACATCTACATTATGTCCAGTCTATCATATCTATATACACACCGTCACATCTATATGTCCACTCTCACAGTATATCCAAAAATAAAAACAAAAATAAGCATGTTTTGTTTGTAGTTCAACGACGCACTCTGCAATTTTCCAGCTATATAACGGCAGTCTGAAGAAAATCGAGACCAGACAATTCAGTTATCATCATGGGCATCGATCCAGGCAATTGGGATAGGGTGACTTGCATCAACCAAGTCAGCGAGCCTGACCACCGACCCCGTTAGTCGCCTCTTATGACAAGATTAGTCACATTTTACGGCAAGCATGGGTTGCTGAAGACCTGTTCTTACCCGGATCTTCAGAGAGTGGACATGTAACTGCGAAAGTTCACTGTGAAAACTTAGCATGGATTGGTGAAGAAGTCTTCCAAATGTCACATAGCGTGAAGAAATTGGTGACTTACAGTCAGAAGGTTCAGGCTACCGGTGCTCCCTATTGCAGTGGAACTCAAGTCAAGATCGAATACGTTTCTGAATGCCTGCCACAAGTGTACGATACGGAGTTGACTAAGAAGTTGGGCACAGATGGTGTTCACCCCAACCCCATCAACCAAATATTTAAAAAATAATTAATGTTAAATACTCACATTTGGATTTTATGTCAGAATACAACCTTATCTATAAAATTGCCAAATATCATAACTGTCCGATAGACAAAAATAACCTTGGGGTGATATGAATTATACTCCAATCTGATAATGACTCATTTGCTAAAAGTGGGATTAGTCACGCTGTACGTTGTCATCGATCTTAGTATTAATTTGCCATTTAATCCCTTGGGTAAAAGTCAGTAGTTTAGCTGGGCGAGTGTGATGTACACATCCTCTTCCACAACCATTTTCTAAACTGTGGGACCACTTTTTCCATCATATTGTGACCGCAACAGGTGGGCCCACATTTGTCAACCGTGAGGTTTCATTGCATACATGGTAGTGAGTTTTATTGATTGATTATAGAATCAGATGTTATTCTCATGTTCCTATATCGATGGAAAATGTATTTTGAAATGATTAAGTGCGACGTTACTTCCTAGAAATGTGCATACAGTGACGCATATTAACCAAGTAGTTTCTAAGTCTGAGACGCCGTAGTTACCTTTGCAGAGTTGTGTCCCTTAGCTGCGCCAGAAACCTGTGGCCGTGGGTTCGAATCCCACATTAGGTTTGTAGGTATGTTGGCATCATGCACTGCATTATAGCTCTGCATCACTTGCCAGAGGGATCTGTTTCAAAAGGACAACGCCCCACCGCACAGAGCTCGTGTCTCGGTATATTACCTCCATAATGCCAACTTCAACGACTTGCCCTGGTCGTCGAGATCTCCAGATCTTAACAAAATCGAACACCTCTGGGAAGAACTCGATCGACGTGTACATCAACGTCAGAACACGACACAGAGACTCCCACAACTGGCCAACGCGTTACAAACAGAATGGCGCAGAATTCCGCAGAATTCCAGAATTCGTACACTTATCCAGTCAGTGCCGAGGAGGTGCAGAGCCGTGATTGTTGCCCGGGGCGGTCACACGAGATACTGAGTTCAGCGCAACCTTGTGGCCTTCTGTGACAATGACAATAAACAGTTTTCAATGCCTTTGTACAACGACAACATGTGACTATCGAGCTCCAAAATTTCATATTTGTATCTTTGATATTAAATTGAATATATCGACTTAATTTGGTGCAATACATTTACTTAAAATCTACCTGTGCGTTTCCTTTTTTGAAGCGTGTACTACAAAGTACAATAACCCTATCCAACAATCAGCACAGAACCAAGCACCTTGTTCTGATCAAGATAACGGCGTTATGGCTACTATCACGATCAGAAGTTACACCTGTCAGGTGTGGTGTGAAGAATCACCTGTTTGTCACTACCCAGCACTGTAAACATGAAGACGGTTGTGGCTCTCTGTGTTGTGTTGGTGAGTATGTCTTTCCTTATTGTGTTTGTTTGTTTGTTGTTTAACGCCGCTCTCAGCAATATTCCAGCTATATGACGACGGTCTGTAAATAATCGAGTCTGGATCAGACAATTCAATGACCAAATTGACTGATATTAAGTTAGCCGTTGTGGTACTTTCAACACATTCCCCTGACAATCTCTCTGTGTTTGGACACTTTCTCCTGACAACCTCTTTGTATGTCGACACTTACTCCTAACAACCTCTCTGTATGTCGACACTTTCTCCTAACAACCCCTCTATGTCGACACATTCTCTTAACAACCTGTTTGTATGTCGACACTTTCTCCTATCAACCTCTCTGTTTGTCGACACTTACTCCTAACAACCTCTCTGTATGTCGACACTTTCTCTTAACAACCTCTTTGTATGTCAACACTTTCTCCTAACAACCCCTCTCTATGTCAACACTTTCTCTTAACAACCTCTTTTTATGTCGACACTTTCTCCTAACAACCTGTTTGTATGTCGACACTTTCTCTTAACAACCTCTTTTTATGTCGACACTTTCTCCTAACAACCTGTTTGTATGTCGACACTTTCTCCTAACTACCTCTCTGTATGTCGACACTTTCTCTTAACAACCTCTTTTTATGTCGACACTTTCTCTTAACTACCTCTCTGTATGTCGACACTTTCTCCTCACAACCGCTCTATGTCGACACATTCTCTTAACAACCTGTTTGTATGTCGACACTTTCTCCTATCAACCTCTCTGTTTGTCGACACTTACTCCTAACAACCTCTCTGTATGTCGACACTTTCTCTTAACAACCTCTTTGTATGTCAACACTTTCTCCTAACAACCCCTCTCTATGTCAACACTTTCTCTTAACAACCTCTTTTTATGTCAACACTTTCTCCTAACAACCTGTTTGTATGTCGACACTTTCTCTTAACAACCTCTTTTTATGTCGACACTTTCTCCTCACAACCGCTCTGTGTTTCGAGTATTTCAGTTTTCTTGGTAATTTCGTTTTTGCGAAGAACCTCACAGGTTTTGTGGAAGTACCGGAACTGTACCGCGAGTAACGAGTAAGTAATAAGGCGCAATAGTATACAACATGTTTCAATCATTTTTCTAATTTTGTTTTACTATCTATATTTCAGGTACTCCTCTATCACGTCGAGGTAGAGTATTACTTTTGTGACGTCAATCCCCGGCAAATATACTGCCTTGAAAAAGAAAGTGTACACTTGAAAATTGGATTTGACCAAAAAATTACACACGTTATCAAAACGTTACCGGGCCGAAAACATTCGCCGAAATACCGCCACTTTAAGGGTCAAAACACAACTATTATACCCGTATCAAATCCATCACCATCGAATAACCATTTATTGTTTGTTTTATTTAGCCACCATCAAACCAAATAGAAATAGGCTTCATATATTGTACCCATCTGGGGAATCGAACCTGGACTTTCGACGTGGCGAGCAAATGGTTTAAACACTAGGCTACCAATCCTCCCCCGGCAGTTAGAGCAAAAAGCGTTCAACCTTTAACAATGTCTTAATAATCTATATTAACCCTTTCTTATGGCATGTGTTGTCTAAAATATTCCACTCACTGGTCGCTGATTTGGTTTGGTTTGTTTTGTTGGTTGTTTAACGCCGCCCTCAGCAATATTCCAGCTATTCCGGTGTGTAAATAATCGAGTCTGGACCAGACAATGCATTGATTGATATCATGAGGATCGATCCATGCAATTGGGATACGATGACTTGCATCAACCAAGTCAGCGAGCCTGACCACCCGATCCAGTTAGTCGCCACCAACGACAAGCATAGTCACTCACTCACTCCTGTTTTGTTCCACACTAGGGGGCGGCACCTGGGACGCACTGCACTAGTTCCCACACCTGCGGCAGCTGTTGCAGGGACAGCAACGACAAGGTCATTTCAACAGACCAGGGCAATGGACAATTTGGTGAGACTTGGAAATACAAACTAAATATGGAAATATTACTTACTAAACCTGTAAGAAGGACATTCGCCTCGACCCGACGGCCACTGAACGCCTCTGTCATCAGAGTAATTATATCTCATACCTGCTTTACATCGGCAGCATCCACGACAATCAACTTCACCTTCATAACATCACCTCTAACATCAGTACCATCACAACCACCACTACAATGTCCATCACACTGTCTTCATCACTTTCATCCCCACCAGTGGTCAATGTCTCATCTCCTTGTCAATATCGTTGTCATTACCAGGCGGATTCGGTGGGTTTGGAACGCTTGGAGGTACGCGTAATGGCACGTGCAGCACTAAGAAATCCGTGAAGGGGGAGATATGTGACAGCTCGTGCCAGTGTGACACAGGTGAGTTGTGGAGGTCCAGGTGAGATGTGGAAGTTTAGGTGAGTTGTGGAAGTTTAGGTGAGTTGTGGAAGTTGAGGTGAGTTGTGGAAGTTGAGGTGAGTTGTGGAAGTCCAGGTGAGTTGTGGAAGTTGAGGTTAGATGTGGAAGTCCAGGTGAGTTGTGGAAGTTGAGGTAAGTTGTGGAAGTTGAGGTGAGTTTTGGAAGTTGAGGTGAGTTTTGGAAGTTGAGGTGAGTGTTGGACGTTGAGGTGAGTTGTGGAAGTCCAGGTGAGATGTTTAAGTTGAGGTGAGATTTGGAAATTCAATTGAGATGAGGAAGTTTAGGTGAGATGTGGAAGTTATGATGAGTTATTGAAGTTCAGTTCAGTTTAAGAATTGCGAATGAATCAGGTGAATTGAGGAAGTTTAGTTGAGACACCTGCCGAAAAAACTGTTACTTAAATTAGCCCCGAGCTGGATGAACAAGTGAATGCATTGTTTCTGTATTCATGAATAAAGCCATCACGTTCAACTGAATGTAACCTGATAGCCAAAGTATATAAACAACAAACAAAGGTGATTTGCAATTGTTGAACAGCATATTTTTTTCTTAGTTTGAATGATTAATCCAGCCATTATTAGCTTTCTTTACGCAACTAAATATGTTATGGTTGGGTATGCAGTCATCGCCTTGAAACGTGATGAAACGCGGTTCCTTAACACGACACGACTGGCGTTGAGTTTCCATGCATCATATTGCGTAGAATTTATCGACCCAGGAACTTTGAGACGCTTTGAGGGGGGCCTTGATGGGTTTTACTGACTACCATGCAACAGCTCAGAAACAGAAACGTTAAACGTAAAAAGATGACTAAAATACAGCTTCGCATTTAATAAGAATGTATTCCCGATCGTAAAAATATAGAAACAGGTGTGTTCCCGTTCCCACCAGATCCATACACTGCAATGTTACTGATAGCTTTGAGGTGGTATGTCAAGGTTTGTTTGTTTGTTGTTTAACGCTGCACACAGCAATATTTCATTTATGTGACGGCGGTGTGTAAATAATCGAGTCTGGAACAGACAATCCAGTGATTGATATCATAAGCATCGATATACGCAATTGGGGTACAATGACATGCATCAACCAAGTCAGCGAGCCTGACCACCCGATCCCGTTAGTCGCCTCTTACGACAAGCATAGTCACCTCTTACGGCACGCATGGGTTGCTGATGACCTGTTCTACCCCGGATCTTCTAACACGGGTATCGGTCAAGGTGTACGATTTGAAAAACATGAAAACTAACGAAAGGAAAATAAATAATAAACGTTTCTGTGTTCAAAATGTAAAGAGTGAGTGAGTTGGGTTTAACGCCGCTTTCAACAGTATTCCAGTTATATCACGGCGTGTCAGCTTGATGTGGGAGTAAAGCCTCAGACACCATCTAGAGAAGATTTCAAAACCCACCATGCTAATTCAAATAAGTAAAATCTTACTTCCCACTGACTAATGGCCACTCCCATCGGGCAGATTGACGTGTGTATCGTAGCTCCACGGCAGGGTGTTAGGCGGTCGGGTAGCCTAGTGGCTAAAGCGTTTGCTCGTCAAGCCGAAGGCCCGATCGCGAGTTCGAGTTTCCACACGGATAAAATATGTGAAGCGCATTTCTGACGTCCCCCATCGTGATAATACTGGAATATTGCAAACCGCGTCGTAAAACCTTATTCACTCACTCACCCCATCAATCATAAATTCTTAAAATGAATCCGCATTGCCTTCACATGTCAATAGCCTACACACAATGATTTATTTTGTATTGCTTGCAGGCCTGGCTTGTTATCGGCCAATGTCCGGCGTCTGTTGCCCACCGTCCACGTGTGTCGATGAGGCCTACGCCAAACATCAACACGAATATTGGTCTAACTGCTTCGCCAACCCGAGCTGTGCTATTCCTCCATAAACGTTAACTTCTTGTACTTGAAATAAAAATGACATATGAAGTTGTGGACTTGTTTTGTAAAATTCATTACTAATTTGGGTCGATGATACACGACAGTGTGTGTGTCACTGGATGCATGTAATAGAATCATCTGCCGAACTGTTTGGCGATTTAGGGGTAGGAATAGGGGTGGGGGTAGGGGTGAATGTGGGGATGGGGTGGTGGTGCGGTGGTAGGGGTAGGGGGGAATGTGGGGATGGGGTGGTGGTGCGGTGGTAGGGGTAGGGGTGAATGTGGGAATAGGATGGTGGTGTAGTGGCAGGGGTAGAGGTAGGGGTGAATGTGGGGATTGAATGGTGGAGCGGTGGTAGGGATGGGGTGAATGTGGGGATGGGATGGTGGTGCAGTGGTAGGGGTAGGGGTGAATGTTGGGATGGGGTGGTAGTGCGGTGGTAGGGGTAGTGGTGAATGTGGGTATGGGGTGGTGGAGCTGTGGTAGGGGTGAATGTGGGGACGGGGTGGTGGAGCTGTGGTAGAGGTAGAGGTGAATGTGGGGATGGCGTGGTGGAGCGGTGGTAGGGATAGGGGTGAATGTGGGGATGGGTTGGTGGAGCGGTGGTAGGGATGGGGTGAATGTGGGGATGGGGTGGGGGAGCGGTGGTAGGGGTAGGGGTGAATGTGGGGATGGGATGGTGGTGCAGTGGTAGGGGTGAATGTGGGGATGGGATGGTGGAGCGGTGGTAGGGGTAGGGGTGAATGTGGGGATGGGACGGTGGTGCGGTGGTAGGGGTAGGGGTGAATGTGGGGATGGGGTGGTGGAGCGGTGGTAGGGGTAGGGGTGAATGTGGGGATGGGGTGGTGGAGCGGTGGTAGGGGTAGGGTTAGGGGTGAAATATGGGGATGATGTGGTCGAGCGGTGGTAGGGTAGGGGTAGGGGTAGGGCCGAATGTGGGGATGGGGTGGTATTTTCTCGATACAAGATCCGGGTTCAATCCCTATAAGATACAAAGCGAAGTCCAATATATATGTAACAGTCTACATAGCAATTATCCAATTCTACATACGTACGTGCAAAATTAGCCTTAGATATTCTTACATTGTCTACCTTGTTCATTCCGGGGTCACTTGTGGCCCAGTTGCCTAATGCGCTGTGTAGAGTTGCGTCCCTTGGGCGTACCAGAAATCAGTGATCGCGAGTTCGAATCTCAGATTCGTCCTGGATATGTTTTTAGGTTTGTCACCTTCTCTAATCTCAATCTCCTTAAAATCAGATGATCCTAGTTCTCGCTATCGCTAAGCAAATATCTGAGGACATCCCATTACGGGTCACGTCAGAACGACCTTTCATCCGGCCAATCAAAGCGTCGCTTACCAGATCATGAAAGTGACAGTCGGAATGTGTTTTCTAATCATGCAACCTCGAAAACGGTACCACGGGGTATTCCGAACGACAGTTACGGCCCGTACGAATGATTCCGTCAAAAATATCGTCTGTCTCTCGCTTCAGTTGGATAAACACATGAACGGAGGAAGCTTTGCACAGTATGTAGGAAGCACTGCTATACTATCTCAACAATATGTTAGACTCCGGAATGTTCTTTTCTTCAGTTTTCAACATTTTAATCGAGAACTGTGTCAACATATTTTTCAAGCGTAGTCTGAAATGGAAGTCGCCAGGTTGAAACGGGTGCCGTAAAGCTCGAGAAAGCTGCTTTCTGACTTCTTGTTACTTTAGTCGTTTCAGTGGGTGGTCAAAGTTCGCGAAAGTTCGTCCTGACGTGACCCTTAATGGGATGTCCTCAGATCTTTGTTTAGCGGCAGCAAGAACTTAGATCTGATTTTAATGAGATTGCTCTGATCTGTGAGGATAAATAATTTCAGAACACAACAGGCCCAGTAAACGATATTTATTTTGTAAAACCTGAAAACAAAATATCTTTTTCTAGCCTTTCCCCCTGATATTAAAATGATCAATTTCTCCATAGACAGAGACATTCTCTATATGAAAATAAATATTAAAAGAAATTGATATAAAACCATTCCAAAATGGTTCTTGAACGACTAGTGAGTGAGTTGTGTTTAATGCGGCTTTTAACAGAATTCCAGACTGAGTTTTACACGGCGTGTCAGCTTAATGTGGGAGGAAAGCCCGAAGTGATGCAGTTCTCACACTTCGGTGAAACCCACGAGCCCGGGTGCTGACAAACCTAGAAACATAATTGGGGCGAACCGGGGTTCGAACCCACAATCATAGGTTTCTGGCGTGCCCAAGGGACGCAACTCAGCACAGCGGAACGCGGCGCCTTAGACGACTGGGCCACACGTGCCCCCTCTTGAGTTTTGATAACAATGCTAAATATACGGTCTAGTTTATCTGTAGGTTGAAACCAATGATCAATGATCATGGTATTCTGGATACACAAGGAAATCGTTATGTTCCGTTGTCTTAAACAGGCCGTTAACTAACTGAAGTGTTAGTTAAATCCCGCAATGACGGAACTTCTTTTTTGCCAATCAACCACAGAATATTTTGACGAATAACGTGTCACAATGTTAACACTGGAAACTGACTTAAGTCATCTTCTGCAACGGCGATATTGATAAAAGGTTGTGGAGTGAGTGAGTGAGTGAGTATGGTTTTACGCCGCTTTTAACAATATTCCAGCAATACCACGGCGGGGGACACCAGAAATGGGCTTCACACACTGTACCCATGTCGGGAATCGAACCCGGGTCTTCGGCGTGACGAGCGAACTCTTTAACCACTAGGCTACCCGACCGCCCCAAAAGGTTGTGGAATTAATATATTAATAACACCAAGACTAAGAGTAAGGGATAGTTGTGTTGACAGCATTTTATGCTATACATTGAACGTGATGTGGCAGTTTTTCGTGAATAGAAATGCAACGGAAAAGTACTCTTTTCTTGATCAATATTTACTCATAATAGGACCATTAGCATAGTCACGTTATATTGATGCATTTTATTAAATGGCACACTTGCCCCGGGGCGTATCATAGCCCGAGTCTTGAGGTTGGTTGGTTGGTTGGTTTGTTGTTTAACGCCGCACTCAGCAATATTCCAGCGGTCTGTAAATAATCGAGTCTGGACCAGACAATCCCGTGATTAATATCATGAGCATCGATTCACGCAATTGGGATCGATGACATGCATCAACCAAGTCACCCGAGTCTTGAGCACAGTGCAAACGCCTTACACAAGGAACGCATTTCACGTGCATGACGTGCAGACAAACTCACACTGCGTTCTCACAGCTGAGCAGAAAACCTTTGATATGTAATTATGGTTATCAAAACAATGTTGTTTAAAAATACCAGATGTAACACTTTGAGTAATATGTGTTACGTTTTGACAACCCGTGACCCTTTTCAGAATGTTCTAAGATAGCTGACCTTTTTGCTCGTGTGTAATTACGCGAACCAAAGGAGAACCATTTTTAATGCCTTCTTGTCGTCATGGTAGAATGGGGAAACACCTGCTGTGTTTTGAAATTTGAAGAAGTATAACTGTAGATTTGTTACTTCTTATTTATACATAAAAGCGACAAATCCTTTCCATATTCATAAGAAATATGTGCTTTCAGCACGATTCCGACCATATCATGAGCATGTGTTTATGAATGAGTTTCAAATAGTGATACCACCAGTGGACCCGTCACAAACACATGCAAAGGAAAGTCAATTGTTCACCTGAAAAAACGCGGGAACATATGTTACAAGTGGAAATAGGGAATTGTATAGGACATCATTATTGTAACTGATGCGTCAAATTTGGAAATGTCCTCCACGTGTCTACCATAAAATGGAAATATTATTCAGAACATCTACCACCATGCCCCCAACTTTGATTGATTAAACTGACCGCCCACCCAACTGCTGCCGGATCCCGGATCCTAGATCCTTCCGACCTTCGTTGTATTGACAAATTCAACTTCTCAGAACGCTCTATGAAAGAGATCTCGCTTGTCATCGTGTGTATTTGGTATTTAACGCCGCACAAAGTAATAGTCTAATAATATGACGACGTGGTCTTATCAATCAATGTCCCTTTCAATTTTAACAATCATCAAACAGTATTGTTCCGATCTGGCAAGCAAACTGTTGTTGTCCACACAGTAGCTAATACGCCAATGTATCTAAATAACACAATTATGGTTCGTTTAAATATCTTTTATCAATGCATTACTGTCATCACCCAACAAGGCAATGTCTTTTTATAAGTTCAAGGAGCGGTTGCAGCATTGTCGGCAAACACTTCCATCAAAGTGTACGATCACAACGTGAAAAAAAGTGAAAATCATTAACGCGCATCTGCGTTGAGTTAATGGTGTATGGGTCCTGTTTAGCTCTATTGGTCTGTTGAGATGTAAATATATAGGAACGCCTTTCCCGATTTGTCCATTGCACGTTCCGCCTTCCGCTGGCTTACATAATCACTTCTTAATGCGCATGCGCATGATTATCACGAAGCGCCTATTAACACGCGCGCTGTTCAGTGAGTGAAGTGCTAAAGTGCTGTTGGCAGATTCAGACGCCTGAGTTGGCTGTCGACGATGGAGTTGACAACGTCCCGCGGGATTCTGTTCCTGTGTATCGTCGTCATCTGTAACGGCATCAACCCCACCACTATCCTGATTGTGGGTGGTTCATATGACAACATTCTCCAGGGTCATGGTTATGACTTGTTAAAAGTTAAAACGCTCGAACATTGTCACAGAGTTTGTCTGTACTCGCCGAAATGTTTGTCTGTAAATTGGAACATGAAGACAAGGTTTTGTCAACTGAACTCGGAAGACGTCGGTCCTGGAGCCCCTCTGATGCCGTCCACGGGAGACGTGTACGTCCCTGCACTGAGCCCCAACATCCAGGTATGCCATTTGATGAGTATATTTCACTCCATCATATTTTATGTAGCCCCCATTGGTCCCGTCCGGGTTTGTTTGTTTGTTTATTAAGCAAGGATAAGAATTTATTGATGAACAACTTCTTTATTACAATTAAGAGCGACGTTTCGGTGTAGGTTCTAACACCGTTATCAAGCGGTGGTCTTAATTAAATTTGCCGTGTTGTGTTGTGCTTCATGAATTATCGGGGAAACGTATGTTGCACTGAAGACCTCCATATTCTACTTCTTGTCTAAATACGTCTAACCAAGTTTTGTTTGTTTGTTGTTCAACGCCGCACTCAACAATATTCTATCTATATGATGGCGATCTGTAAATAATCCAGTCCTGTTAGTAAACAAGTACATGATATTATCTGACAAATATTACATCAGAAATGTAAGGGATGGGAGATCACAGTTTTATCTTCATCATTATTTCTTCATCAAATTTGCCGTGTTGTGTTTTGCTTCATGAATGATCCGGGAAACGTATTAAGAGCTATATGGGTATAGAGGTGTGTGTAGTTAAGGTTTATTGCAATGTATGTAGTTAAAGAATTAGATTTGGTTGGTTGGTTGTTTTATCAGCGGTGGTCTTCATTGAATTCGCTGTGTTGTATTAGGCTTCATGAATGATCGGAGAAACATATGCTGCACTGAAGACATCCATGTTCTGCTTCTTGTCTAAATACGTCTAACATAGGTTGGTTAAACGCCGCCCTCAGCAATATTCCAGCTATATGACGGCGGTCTTTAAATAATCGAGTTTGAAACAGACAATCCAGTGATTGACATCATGATCATCGATCCACGTAATTGGGATATGATGACATGCATCAACCAAGTCAGCGAGTCTGACCACCCGATCCCGTTCGTCGCCTCTGACGTCAAACATAGTCGCCTCTTACGGCAAGCATGGATTGCTGAAGACCTATTCTACCCCGGATCTTCACGGATCTGTGTGTGTTGATTGGTTTAACGCCCCATTGAACAGTCATTGAACATTTCAATATTACAATGTCATAAGGAAGAGCATTTTTTTATGGATATCAACTTCTTTTTTATGACGAGAGACGACGTTTCGGTGTACATGCTTACTCCTTGATCAGGTGAATGAATGCTATGAGGCAGAGAGCACATATATGTACATGTAAGGACAACAAAAGTAATAAGATAACAAAAGGTGGAAACTTAACAAGGGAAGCCAACAGATAATTGTCGCTGATGGGCGATTAGAAACAGACAATAGAAGTAACACTTTAAAGTAATTAGCACTGATGATTATGGACAACTGGAAGCTGGTAAGTACTCCCGGCCTCCCGTTTGCCCACTGTCAATTGCCCATTACCATTCAATGATAATTAAAGGGCTGACGTCGAGTTGTCCATAACCACCAGCGCTAATTACCGTAAAGTGTTGGCATCTATTGTCTTTTGCTAAGCACCCATCAGTGGCAATTATCTGTTGGCTTCCATTGTTGTGTCCACATTTTGTTTTCTGTGTTTCACTTCTAAATGCCATTCAAAGACTTAATACAATGACGTGTCAATATGATGTGGGAGTCAAGCCCAAAGTGATGCAGGTATAAGTCGTTGACCACTTTGGTAGCAGCCACGAGCACAGCTGGACCACACAAACCCAGTTATAAAATCAGGGTGAATCCGGGATTCAAACCCACAATCATAGGTTTCTGGCACGCCAACGAGAATCAACTCTTATCGTGGCGCCTGACACGGCAGCGGGACCACCCGTGCCCCAACATATGACTGACACTGACCCCTGGGTTATTTTGTCGCTGACAAACCTAGAAACATTATCAGAGAGTTTCTGAGATTCGGATCCACGATCATATGTTTCTGCTCTGCAGAACTGACCCCCTCGCCTCATGAGGTAGTGAGTGAGTATGGTTTTACGCCGCCTTTAGCAAAATTCCAGCAATATCACGAGGGTGGGGTGGGGTGGGGTAGGGGGACACCAGAAATAGGCTTCACACATTGTACCCAAGTGGGGAATCGAACCTGGGTCTTCGGCGAACGCTTTAACAACTGGGCTACCCCACCGCCCCCCATGGGTTAGTGAGTCAAGTGGGAGATAAACATGCTGTTTGTCATTGTTGAATAATGCAATTGTATATTGCATGAAGGGGGCATTGGCCCATATGCAAATGAGTTACGTTACTCGCAGACTTGACGACGCTGAATTTTGTCTGGAACCGACAACTACTGGTAGTCTAGCTTGGCATCTTTATTGTTTGTTGTTTAACGCCGCACACAGCAATATTCCAACTATATGACGGCGGTCTTTAAATAATGGGACCAAACAATCCAGTGATCGATATCATGAGCATCGATCTGCACAATTGCCAGCGAGCCTGACCACCAGATCCCGTTAGTCTCCTCTGACGACAAGCATAGGTTGCTAAATACCAAATTTAATCCGGATCTTCACGGGGAAGCGCTTCATTGCAAACACATGTATAGAATGGTTATTTCCGAACGAACGTGGAGTGTAGAACATGAGTGAAACAGCATTTAAAGAATCCAGTGTTTTGAGAAGGTATCAAATATGCACAGTGGAAACACTGACAATACCCTTCAAACGAAGTATTAATTTATATATATTCACATGTCGTTTTCCTCACACCAACATCATCTCCTCTCATAAAAGAGGCTTTAAATGTTGAATTAAGAGAAACTCTGCACAGCTAATTGCGGCGCCTCCATGACTGAGCCACGTGTGCCTCCTAGTGCATCTTGGTCATTGCGTGTTTGTACTGATCCTGGAGGCGTATTCCGTGGTCTAGTGGATAGAGCGTCAGCACGGAGAGCGGAAGGTCGGTGGTTCGATCCCCAGCCTCAGCATGCTAAACTAGGTTAAGAGATTGTGCAGTTACTTGTTTTTACCCTGCCTGGCGGAAGGGGGTGAATAAGAACTGGTCGGCTCGGAGTCTATACTGTGTCCGAGTGGAATATTCACGTGAAATTGCGGTATGATGTCTCAAAAGGCGAGCACTATAAAACCGGCATTAGTCCGCACCAGTACAAGCAACCACACACACACGCGTGCACGTTTAAACGTTCCTAACCCCCTGGATGCCTGAGGGACATATATGTCCCTCCTCTACAACCCTCACTTTGAAGTCTAATAAAATTCAAAATACATCACCAACACAAATACACTTCACAGTTTTGAATAAGGCGGGAAATTCCCTGTTCTGTGATATCATCCACTGGCATTTTAGGCCAAGCATAAGTACTCAAAATGACCCCTGAAAATAAATTAGGTAAATCGTCGCACAGTACTTTTATCGGTGTACGATAAAAAGCGGAGAAATTTACTTTTTTTTTCAATGCAGAATAAATTGTCGGAAAACACTTAGAAGTGTATTTTTTTTAAACCGGTTTAATATTTGCAGTTACCTTTACACCCTCAAACAGGGAATTTAATATTCTCCACCTCTGCTTAATTTTATAGCCAGAGGTAGATGCAGTGCCGCGTGAACGCAATTCTCTCACAACCTTCACTTTTCCGATCTTAGCAAAATGTGCGTCAGAAAAACAACAACTCGGCATCCAGAAGGTTAAGGAATTCCACAGGACAGAATTCGTACACTTTTTTCAGTCAACTTATTCAGAGACCATATGGCATTTTCCATCGTCATAGCAACACGAGAATATAATCTGATGCAATAAAACTCCTGCATTGCATGCAATGAAGCTACCCGATTTACAAATGTGGGCCACTTGTTGCGGTCACTGTGTATATCACGCAAGCGCCTTGAACGAATGGGTCACTCATGCGCTCTGGATATTGTATTTAGGAAATACGTCAATACGATAAAGCGATTTTTTACTACAATACCCGGACTAGGTAGTCATGTAATTGAACATGACGTGAGCCAACACTCGCCGCGTTCACATGGGTTTATATTTACATATCTATATTTATAATCGGTTCGTGTTTATTCCTGGCCGGGACTGGGTTAATGAATGTTTTTTTCTGTCACTGAAATCGTGTTATTAACGTGATCTTTAACATGGGTGACTCCCCGGCATGCGCAGCGCTAAAAACGTAGTTAACACGTGTGATGGACAATGAAAACTTGATTTTATGTCATTTTTTTTTCTTACCTGTTTTTTCTCTCAAACATTTGCAGCTTTTAAATTACCTACAAATATATTCGGTTTGCTTGCTAATAATAAACTGAATAAAATGTGATTTATTCCAACTCAGAAGCCGCTGTACTGATCCGGGAGACGTGAAGATCCGGGGTAGAGTAGGTCTTCAGTAACCCATGTTTGTCTTAAGAGGCAATGAGTACAGTTGTGGCCAAATAGATCCATCTTTTTTTATACGACCATTGCGTCTTCAGGCGATGGTTTAACGCCGCTTTTAACAGTATCCCAGTTATATCGCGGCGTGTTAGCTTAATGTGGGAGGAAAGCCCGAAGTGATGCAGGTCTTAGACTTTACCACTCCGATGAAACCCACGAGCACGGGTATGGTGCTGACAAACCTAGAAACATTATTGGGGCGAACCGGGATTCGAACCCACAATCACTCTGAACAGCGAACGCGGCGCCTTAGACGACTGGGTCACCCGTGCACCCTTAATTGGGAGAGGTAGGGGTTTGCCGTTTTAGTATTATCCCGTTTATTTCGATAAGATTGTCGATGGACTCTGAAGCTCTTGGGAATCGCACTGGATCTGGTTTACATCTATATCAGATGCTCAAAGGGTTCCATCTACGCATGCCCTATGGCAAACATGAGTCTTGTACAGTTGAACCTACACACTTTCAGGTCAGGAGTATATTTTATGTACACCCCCATGGTGCTGCGAATGTTGTATTGGTAATGCGTCAACATAGTTCATACTATTACTAACACAATCGACTAAAACATAATGAATCCTACATATGATGCCATATATGTTATGAAAAGTATAAATTGGAAATGCTTTACTAAACGCATTCTTCCAGAAGCAATCGACCCGTGAAGATTCCGGGGTAGAATATGTCTTCACCAACCCATGCTTGCCGTAAAAGGTGACTATGCTTGTCGTAAAAGGCGACTAACGGGATCGGGTTGTCAGGCTCGCTGACTTGGTTGATGCATGCCATCGATCCCAAATGCGTGGATCGATGCTCATGATATCAATCACTGGATTGTCTGGTCCAGACTCGATTATTTTACAGACCGCCGTCATATAGCTGGAATATTGCTGAGTGCGGCGTTAAACAACAAACCAACCAACCAACCAGAAGTAATCACCTACCTATCTTTATCCAACGATTCCACTGAGATGCGCAACCATTGTAACTGATGAAAAAGCGTGTCTGGTACGTGGATCTACGTCCACTATCGTAGCCCTCGTCCAAAGTACATGTACCATGGTCTAATGTTTGAACTTCTATACCCTTCTTTAGAAAGTCAGCCATAGTTGAGAGTGATATTCAGAGATGTTATTGCTTTAAGTGTTTAAGAGGTCGCCTTCTGCCTAAGCAATTTCGGCTGACCTGTCCCTCTTTGGGACTCCTGTGTGTGACTAGGGTACACATATCTATTGTGAGTTTGGTATTCACAGGATTTCTGTTTTTGTATTGATATGATTTCTATTTTCGTATATTGATATAATTTCATTCTTATATTTGGCTGCTCTGTTTATATACGTTAGAGTAGCTGTCCATCTTTCAGAAATAGAGTTAGTTTGGCCTTCGCTAATGCATCCCTTGGCTTTAGGAGATCTACGACAGATAGCGGATCTAACTGCAATTCTTGTTTTAACCAAGTCCGGGCTGGGGCGTGGTCTTGACGTTACAGTAACAAGTGAGCAATGGATTCAGGTTGATTGCAAGATGGACAAACCTTGTCATAGTGTTTTTGTCATCGTCTGAGGCGTGAGATGGCAATTTCAACTTTCCTTTCATTTGAGTATGAGTATGGCTTTTGTTGGATTGGGTTTAATTTTGTACCGCCATCTGCCGATCTTACTTGCGTCCCACTGGGCTTGCCATCTTTCGGGTATGGAGGCTTTGATTTTGCTTTTCATCTCTAGTTTACTAATCGGAATAGGCTGTATCTCTGTTTTGTCTTGAGCTAGCTTCGCCAATGTGCCTGCTTTATCATTTCCATGAATATCTATGTGAGAGGGGATCAAACACAGCTCCACCTGTTTCCATCAGTCCGATAGTTTTGTATATTCGTATTGAATATTATTGACTGTGTTTGGTCTGGACATTGAGTTTCTGCCGGTGATGGCTTGTAGTGCACTTAACAAGTCTGATAGGACGACTGCCTTTGCTTCTGGTAGTTCCGGTATGAGTTTGAGTGCATGATGAATTGCCTCCAATTCAGCAGTGAATAATGACTGACCATCAGGCAGGCGAACCGAATATGTTTGGGTTTGCAGCTGTTGATATGGATTCCGTAACCAGCACTGTTGTTGGTAGGACTTTTGGATCCATCAGTGTATATACGGGCCCAGCTGCCCGTATAGGTTGAATTTGAGTGATAGCTACTGATCGTAGTAGGGTTGGGTTTTCTTTTCTAGTGACTTCTGATGTTAAAGCAGTGTCAGGGAGGGTGTAATCCTTCGTAGTGACTTTCTGGTGGCTCGTAATAATATCCCAGATGACTTTAGTGAGGGATTTTTCAGAACTAGGGGTTCATCTCGTTTTTGTATTGCCATATCTTTTTCACCAAAGGGCTTGGTGTTCGTCCCCAGAACGATAATATTACCTGCTCTCTTCTCAGTTTCAATGGGAGTTCTTCTGTTTCTACTTGTAGTGCTTCTAGTGAAGTGCCTGTTGCTGCACCTGTGGCCAGCATTAGGGCTTTGTATTGTATTCTGTCGAGGCGGCTCAAGGCAGTATTTGATGCTGAGTGAAATGCCTTACAACCAAGATGTGCTTGAAATTGCCTATAATACGTTCAGGTCTTTTTGACATCTGTTTTCCAAATATTCTATATGTTTGCGCCAAGTGAGGTGTTGATCAAGGATCACCCCTAGAAATACTGCGGATTTTTCGAATTTGATTGGTTTGCCTTTTATGGAGACATTGGGTATCATAGCATCTTTCCCCCTGAGTTTGAATAGAACTCCCACAGTTCTATTCAAATGTAAGGGTGAACCCCCATCTATTGCACGATTGATCTACTCCGTCCAGGGCTGACTGGAGTTTTTTTTCGCATTTTTTAAATATCTCTGTGATTTACCCATATTGCTCCGTTATCAGCGAATTTTGAAGTTTGGGTAGGAGAGTTGATCATTGATCATGATGTTAAACAGGATTGGGCTTATAATGCTGGCTTGTGGTGTGCCATTGTCCAGTGACATAGGATCAGATTGATTGTTCCCTATTTTAACTGATAGCTGTCTTTGAAGTTAGCCAAGATCCCTTCAACTCCATTTTGTGCTGCGTGTTACACGCGTTCTCAACGCGTGTAAGCGGAATGATTTTTTAGGCAGTAGTGTATAAGCTTGACGTTGAGAATTCGAAACAACATACAAACAAACAAACAAACAAACAAGTATCATGAGACGATCATTGAATTTCTAACAGAACTCAACCAATTCTTAGCGTTGTTAAGCCAAACCTGTGCAGCGTTTAACGCAGTGTTTTGTGTAATAATCAGTCAGTCAGTCAGTCAGGGATGACTCAGTTAATGTTGTGTTGCTTTCAGAACCACGCTTGTACACCAAGCCCGTGCCGATATGGTGATGTTTGTATCCCCGTCACGGCAACAAAAAGTTTCGTCTGCTTGCGTCCTGACATTGCAACAAATACAAGTACAGCATCTCCGACAACGGACTCAGCAGGGACTGCCGCACCTACTACTGCTGCCGCCACGACAACCACAACGACTACACCCACATCGACCTCCACTATAACATCAGCGAACGGTGCTACTACTGTTACTACCACGAACACTCCACCTACAACCACGATATCAGCTACTACTGCCACCGCTACTACAACTACTACTACTACTACTACTTCTACTATTTCTGCCACTTATACTACGACATCCAATCCGACCTCGATTATAACGTCAAGTACAACTAGGACGACCCCTACAACTACTTCTACTCCGACAACCACATCCCCTACAACTACCACTCCAGCAACAACGCAAGGTAGGCAACACCATGTCATATTAATAAAATTCATGTTGACATTAGTTATGCCGTTATGTTATATCAATCACCGGGGCACTGTGTTCAAGTCGTTTTTGCGCCACAAATCGCTGTGCATGATCGTGGGCTCGTGGGATTCGCCCTGATTTTGTTTCTTGGTTTGCTCGTTGGTTTCACCTAACTTGTTATTTCACTCACGCACTCACGCACGCACGCACTCATGCACGCACGCCTCACTCACTCACTCACTCACTCACTCACTCACTCACTCACTCACTCACTCACTCACTCACACACTCACTCACTCACTCACTCACTCACCTGACACATTAACTTCCAGCTGTGATCACGCTCATTGAGAATGAAAATATTTATTCGTTATAAGAAGATTGTTAAGTAGGAATGTTGCCTCTGATTTCATGAAGAAATTAATCTTTCTTTCAGATTTGTCGGGATATTCTGATTCCTTCAGAAGAATTCAAGGATACGTGGTCTGGTTGCTCAACAACGAATCATACTACAATGTTAACTCGGTATCAAAGTGTGAACAATACTGCATACAGCACACGGCGTTCACGTGCAAGAGTTATGAATATTATTATGCCCAAGAATGGTGTTTCCTGCAATCCTTCGTGAAGGATGATGCTCTCAGTGTGTGGACAGCGGACTCGAGGGGGGATTATTTTCAACGTTTATTTAAATGGGAAGTCTAGCTTGTTGTATCATCTCTGCCATGTGAGTGAGGTTTAGTCCCACCTTGAAAAGTATCTTGGTACGGCGAACTCTGGCGCCCTAGACTGTTGAACAAGACTGTTGAACAAGACAATTAGCATCCCCAAGACGATTGTGGCGCCTTAGACCGTTGAACAAGACTACTTGTATCCCCATGACGATTGTGGCGCCCTAATCCGTTGTACAAGACTATTAGCATCCCAAAGACGATTGTTTTGTCTTAGACCGTTGAACAAGACTACTAGCATCCCCAAGACGATTGTGGCGCCCTAGACCGTTGAACAAGACTATTAGCATCCCAAAGACGATTGTTTTGTCTTAGACCGTTGAACAAGACTACTAGCATCCCCAAGACGATTGTGGAGCCTTAGACCGTTGAACAAGACTACTTGTATCCCCATGACGATTGTGGCGCCCTAATCCGTTGTACAAGACTATTAGCATCCCCAAGACGATTGTTTTGTCTTAGACCGTTGAACAAGACTACTAGCATCCCCAAGACGATTGTGGAGCCTTAGACCGTTGAACAAGACTACTTGTATCCCCATGACGATTGTGGCGCCCTAATACGTTGAACGAGACTATTAGAATCCCCATGACGATTGTGGCGCCCTAGACCGTTGAACAAGACTATTAGCATCCCCATGACGATTGTGGCGCCCTAGACCGTTGAACAAGACTACCAGCATCCCCATGACGATTGTGGCGCCCTAGACCGTTGAACAAGACTATTAGCATCCCCATGACGATTGTGGTGCCTTAGACTGTTGAACACGACTACTAGCATCCCCAAGACGATTGTGGTGCCTTAGACTGTTGAACACGACTACTAGCATTCCCGAGACGTGGCACCTTAGACCGTTGAACAAGACTATCAGCATCCCCAAGACGAGTGTGGCGCCTTAGACCGTTGAACAAGACTATTAGCATCCCGAAGACCGCTCAACTAGAATTTCGATAGTCATGAAGACGATTGAAGACAATGATCGTACAAGAACTACGAATGTCCTGAAAACGATTGTGGGCATGAATAACATACCTGTGTAATTAACGTGACGGCATCCACAAGTTTCCATCTTTTCCCAAGATTCTGAGGACTCATTCGTGAAGACTCGCGCTATTCTGATTTAGTGTACTTACTGTCAATACCAGAACTCAGAATGCCTGAATGATGGACAGTCGATCACCCGTTGGCTTGGATGATATTATATTTTCACATAAATGACATTAAATATAATTGTGCAGTGACTAGGTTATGTTCCGAGCCGTTTTGATAATATTACTGCGAGGTCACGAAGAGGAACACTGGAAAAGGACTTTTGTCCCCGTGCTGAGAGCCGAACCGGGTCTCAGGCGTGACGAGCGAACACTTTAACCAAAGGGCTACTGCATATGAATGTATGTACACGTTTTTATTTTCTGTTTCAATTTGTTTATTTATCGATTAAATATTATCATAAACATAAAATGTATTGTTGTGTTCATAACTTGAGTGGAAATAACATACCATACCGTACGTACGAACGAACGGACGATATTAAACGCATTTTCGCCATACTTGTGTACTTAGAGCACATCTTATGTACTTAGAGCACATCCTATGTACTTAGAGCACATCTTATGTACTTAGAACACATCTTATGTACTTAGAGCACATCTTCATAGCCTCGAGAAAATAATTGAAATAAGGACAAAATATTTGAAATTTTCTGTTTTAAAAGAAAAATTTCTATTAGTAAAATATTGTTTCTAATCAATTATTATCCATTCAACCCTCCCTTCCTTTGTTTTTCTTATATTTTTTTTGCAAATCAAGATTTATTTGACAGTTTCTATGCAGGATATTTCTTATCGTACAAAGCGGCATTAGAGTTATTAAACTCGTAGAGTTATTAATGCCCTTTTTTCAACACCATCAATTGAAACCAAATTTTCATATTCTCGCCTCTCACTCTAAACGAATACGAAGCTTTCCTGTGGCCAATTCACGAGTTTAATCTGTAGAGATTTCAATAAGTCATGCAGTGGACTCTGCCCTACACTCCAAATGCTATTAAAGTACAATTAATTGTAACGTGGTATAATTGGTAAGTTTTATTGCATCCGTTTCAGATGGATTTCCTATCTGGTTATCATATTGTTACTTTATTGCTATTACTTTATTGCTATTACTTTATCGCTATTACTTTATTGCTATTACTTTATTGCTATTACTTTATTGCTGTTACTTTATTGCTATTACTTTATCGCTATTACTTTATTGCTATTACTTTATCGCTATTACTTTATTGCTATTACTTTATTGCTGTTACTTTATTGCTATTACTTTATCGCTATTACTTTATTGCTATTACTTTATTGCTATTACTTTATTGCTGTTACTTTATTGCTGTTACTTTATCGGTATTACTTTATTGCTATTACTTTATTGCTATTACTTTATCGCTATTACTTTATTGCTATTACTTTATTGCTATTACTTTATTGCTATTACTTTATTGCTGTTACTTTATTGCTATTACTTTATTGCTATTACTTTATCGCTATTACTTTATTGCTATTACTTTATTGCTATTACTTTATTGCTGTTACTTTATTGCTGTTACTTTATTGCTATTACTTTATTGCTATTACTTTATTGCTATTACTTTATCGCTATTACTTTATTGCTATTACTTTATTGCTATTACTTTATTGCTATTACTTTATCGCTATTACTTTATTGCTATTACTTTATTGCTATTACTTTATTGCTGTTACTTTATTACTGTTACTTTATCGCTATTACTTTATTGCTATTACTTTATCGCTATTACTTTATTGCTATTACTTTATTGCTGTTACTTTATTGCTATTACTTTATCGCTATTACTTTATTGCTATTACTTTATTGCTATTACTTTATTGCTATTACTTTATCGCTATTACTTTATTGCTGTTTGTTGCGGTTCCTTAAGCCTGATTACAATTAATCCAAGTTAGTATGTGGACGATGACATTGATTCACAAAGCCATTTTTCGCCAACAGTATAACCCCGCTCTCGTAGTATCAGCGAATAAACTTCGGCTGTTAAACCCAGGAGTGTTTTTTTCGTTCATATACAGCAAACTACGTCTATAACGAACACGCTTATAACGATCTGACCGATATAACGAACTTATTTTTTAGTCCCGGCCATTTGTTGTATACCTGCTGTATATATACTTTACTCTCTTTGAGTTCATTATAACCTTTGTTTACTGTATCTATTCACGTGTTCGATCGTTATTTGGCACGTTGGCAATAGTTGCTTTGTTGTCATAACGATATACGGTTACTTTAAAAGAACCATCATAAGGTTGATTTAATCATTTTCGTACCGTGAAATAATGATATGTTCACAGTGAAAGACAAATTCAATAATGTATAATCTTGTGGTAGAGAATGTGTTCAATAAATGCGGTCAATACATCGTAATATCAATATTGTACATGTATGTCAATACACATTGTAACATCCATCTATGACTTGCATATTTTGTTCTTTCTCCTTCCGCCACTCCTCCGCATCTTTTTCTCCCGCCTTCTCTTTAGAATCCTCCCCCTTTGTGTCTCCTTTTTATAAAGAGGAGGGATGCATTTAACATACGACATGCTTAGTGAATTGTGATAAACAGACGGGCGAAAGAATCGATACTAAAGATATTAACAAAGCATTTTCTGTAAAAGACCACAAAGCAATTATTCAAAACAAAATGATTTAATTTTTTTAAGGTACATCACCTTGCCGTGTGTGTTCAGAGTTTTAACAAATAATTATCGGAGATAATGATGTTACGGGCCCAGTTATGAATCACACAGATCAGTCAATGTCGCGTATGTCAAATGGGGTCTAACGTCGCGTCCAAGATTATTGCACTTATATAGCGACGTGCATAAACTCTCTGTGTGTGTGTGTGTGTGTGTGTGTGTGTGTGTGTGTGTGTGTGTGTGTGTACTAGTCCGGACTGATGCCGATTTATAGTGCTAGCCCACTGATATACTATGTGAAACATCCTGATCAAGCTCTCAGCAGAAAAGAGTAATCTTTGCCAGTTCCTGTCCTGCCACTGACGTACGGTGCATGCCCATCTGTCTGTGACGTCGATGTTGGCGTCTCAGGCATACTCCACGGAACGGTCTATATGCCTGAATACTACGCAGTCTCAATCTCCAAGACGCTGTCCTGCTGACCTGACGACCAAGAGTGGATGAAGCTGAAACGAAGGTCGCTGTTCTCGTTGGGCCTGGTCACGAGTGGTCTGTTGCGCTTCGACCTGACCCTACTGTAAGGCTGTTGCCACATGGCTGGGAGGGGCCGGGGAGTCGGTTGGGGGTTGAGGCTGGGTGGGTGTGTATGGGTATTCATAGGACGCGTACGCCAACCTTTTGACCAAAATTTTTCGCACGAAGTCCCAGGGAGGTATCCTTTGATGCTTACTCGGCTAAGCTGTTGTTGTTTTAACGTATCTATTAAGCGATTTTATTGGTTATGGTATTCATATTATTTTGGGTCAACTGTACAACTACATATATCACAACGATCACTACTGCTTCTACCTTTACCACAGCGACTACATATTAAAATGTTATTGTGGCGAAGGCATTCGGGGAATATTTTACAAATTTGACTGCAAAAATGGATGTGAGAGCAAACGTCTTTTTGAAGAGTGGAGACTATTTTGTGCAAGGCCCCAGTAAACAATATGTTGTCAAGTGGTTGCATTGGCCGCAGGAATGTAATTCATGGACAAATGTATCTGATGTACATGATATATAATGATCAAATATTTATGTTGTAAAGGTAGACGTAGGTTGGGTCCCCGACATGTGCCTACTTCAAAGTACGGGGATAATAAAATGTATATATTAATTCAATTCTTTTGTTATGCTTGTCTTTTAGAATTTATTTGACCAACCAATCATTTCACAGTACGATGAGGGGCGGTCGGGTAGCCTAGTGGTTAAAGCGTTCGCTCGTCACGCCGAAGACCCGGTTTCGATTCCCGACATGGGTACAATGTGTTAAGCCCATTTCTGGTGTCCTCCGCCGTGATATTGCTGGAATATTGCTAAAAGCGGCGTAAAACCATACTCACTCACTCACAGTACGATGATGTCAGTTTCTATACACAGCTGCCCACGATTCTATACATAAAGATTAGAAGGTCATGGACTTCCATTCCCCTGTCTAAATATAGCAATGATGTCATATACCTAAAGATAGATTGTGACGTCATCCGCCTTGGGGATGACGGTGGGAGGATGACATGGGATAACATGTGGGGTGGTACGCGTAAGCTGTCCTTTTACACTAAAACGCAAAAGTTTATTATCGTGTTCTGCAGTAAAATTGAGAATAATCCGCGGATATTCCGCGGATGCGTTGCAAATAATTATCGAATAATTTTGCGAATAATTTGCAAATAATTCGCGAATGATCCGCGGATTTCTGCGAAAACAATTGTAGTTTTATGGAACTAAATAGGAGTTTTATGTGACTATAACGCCACCAACGCGTTGCGGGCCATGGCAGTTCTCTCCATACATACTATGATGCAACGCTGTGAACGGATAACAGGTACATTTGATAAATACATGTGAACACCAGTTTGTAAAATATCCCTATAATAATGTTGACATGATATTTGATTATGATCAACTTGCATTGTGTCTCTTGTCTTGTATAAATCTACATGAGTGAGTGAGTTGGGTTTAACGCCGTTTTTAACAGTATTCCAGTCATATCACGGCGCGTCAGCTTAATGTGGGAGGAAAGCCCGAAGTGATGCAGGTCTCAGACGTTTACCATTTCGGTGAAACCCACGAGCACGGGTATGGTGCTGACAAACCTAGAAACATAATCGGGGCGAACCGGGATTCGAACCAACAATTACAGGTTTCTGGCTTCCCTAAGGGACGCAACTCTGCACAGCGAAGCGCGGCGCCTTAGACGACTGGGCCACCCGTGCCCCCACAAATCTACATGAATACATATAGGTACTAGTATGATATACTTATGTGGTTGTTTGATAAAAACCACTCTGACACTGGTTTGAGAACAGTTGATGTGTGTACATGTACATTTACTTGGTTAAAAAACACATACAATGTACATGTACGGAGGGACGCCCTTATTAGTGTGGTCACGCAGTCATCATCACCTCCCTCATATGAACATTTGAACTTTTACATGCATTCCCCTTTTGGTTTGAAATCGGGAACAGTACAGAAAAAACAGCAGCTGTAAAGTCTAATCCGTATGGACAGCCTCCGTGGTCTAGTGGTAGAGCGTCCGCCCGGAGAGCGGAAGGTCCGAGGTTCCATACCCGGCCGCGTCATACCATGCATGTTCATTGTGCTGGAGACATTGTGCGCTAATCATTTGTAACCGGGTCCCAGACACAGGTGAGAACAAGCTCCAACAACATGTACACTGGGGTTTTGAGCAGTTTTGGAATGTAGAACCTTAAATTGAATGTATTTACCATGTACATCGATAATGTTTGGGTGCGGGGATGTTCGAAAATGGGTGATAGGATATTCCGTCGTTTGATGGAAACGAGTGA